AGAATGATGAGGGGGGCGCTGGAGGAGATGAGGGAGGGAGCTGCTGGAGGAGATGAGGGAGGGGTCCGCTGAAGGAGATGAGGGGGGGGGTCCGCTGGAGGAGATGAGGGAGGGGGCCACTGGAGGAGATGAGGGAGGGGGGGGCCACTGGAGGAGATGAGGGAGGGGGCCACTGGAGATGAGGGAGGAGTCCGCTGGAGATGAGGGAGGGGTCCGCTGGAGGAGATGAGGGAGGGGTCCGCTTGAAGAGATCAGGGGGGGTCCACTGGAGGAGATGAGGGAGGGGGTCACTGGAGGAGATGAGGGAGGGGGTCACTGGAGGAGATGAGGGAGGGGGCCGCTGGAGATGAGGGAGGAGTCCGCTGGAGGAGATGAGGGAGGGGTAAGCTGGAGGAGATGAGGGAGGGGACCACTTGAAGAGATCAGGGGGGGGTCCACTGGAGGAGATGAGGGAGGAGGCCACTGGAGGAGATGAGGAGGGGGGCCGCTGGAGGAGATGAGGGAGGGGTCCGCTGGAGGAGATGAGGGAGGGGTCCGCGCTGGAGGAGATGAGGGGGGGTCCACTGGAGGAGATAAGGGAGGGGTCCGCTGGAAGAGATGAGGGAGGGATCTGCTTGAAGAGATCGGGGGGGTTCACGGGAGGAGATGAGGGAGGGGGCCGCTGAAGGAGATGAGAGGGGGGGGGGTGCTGGAGGAGCCTTACCACCTGGTGTGTGGGCGGTACCACCTGCATCCAGTGCAGAATCGCCGGACGTGGTGGCGGCACTGCCAGGTGTGTTGGAGGTTTAGCAGTGTTTGCGTCAGAATTATTATTATTATTATTATTCAGGATTTATATAGCGCCAACAGTTTGCTCAGCACTTTACAATATAACGGGAGACAGTATAATTACAATACTTTCAGTACAGAAGGAATGTGAGGGCCCTGCTCATGGAGCTTACAATCTAAAGGCAATGTAAGGTGCCCTTGAATGTAATGCGCACACCGAGTTTAGAGCCTCTTTTTGGCCAGAAAAGGTGCGCATTACATTTGAGTAAATACGGTATTACCCCATAAGCCATGATTAAATGTTATAAGAAATCCAACTGTTGCCTGTTCCATACAAATACATAATGGGGTTGATTTACTAAAGGCAAAAGGACTGTGCACTTTGCAAATGCAAAGCTTACTCCGGAGTTTAGTAAATGAGAGGAAGCTCTATGTAAAGTGAAGCTTTACCTCATTTACTAAGCTCTAGAGCAACTGTACTTTCAAAGTGCATAGTCTATTTGCCTTTAGTAAATCAACCCCATAGCGTGGATAAACATTAGGGATGCTATTTGCACAGTTAGTGTTCTGTTGTTAGCCTTGTTGACTTTGTGGAAATCTCAGTTGTCTTTTTTATCATCGTCCATTGTGACACAATGCTCCCTCACTTTCACACGGCACGTGACTTTACCAAGAGGGCCACAAGTAAAATTCTGTTTATATTGTGCTACAGAAGACTTTTAAAGATCCTTTGGGTTCATTCACACCATGGGGCTGAGACGTCAGTTTTTTCTGCACGTGTTCTGCAAGGGCCCAACAAAATCATTGGTTCTCTATGTGCCCTGTTCACACCACAACGCTAGTATCACATGCAGATTTTTTCTGCGCAGGAATCTGCAATGTGCATAAAACTCATTGAAGCAAGCATGAAAACTGATGTCTCTGCAAGTGAAATCTGAGCGTCAGTTGCCATCAGTTTTTCTGCACTTATGGTGTGAACGAGGCATCAACTGCTGGTACTGCTATTAGCAGGGCTTTTTTTTTCTTAGAAAATAGGTGCCGGAACGCAACAACCTCCCAAAATCTCCCTTCCCCCCACACATAACCTCCAATCCACATCAAAAATAGTGGGTGTGGTAAAAATGTCACTAACAGAGGGAGGGTTTTAAAGGGGTATTAAATACCAGGAGTGCATTACGTACAGAGTGCACAGTTGGGGGGAGTTACACTCAGAGTGCAGAGTTCAGGGGTGCGCTATGTGCAGAGTTCAGGGGTGTGCTGCATACAGAGTGCAGAGTTCAGGGTGCGCTGCATGCAGTGTGCAGAGTTCAGGGTTGTGCTATGTGCAGATTTCAGGGTGTGCTACGTGCAGATTTCCGGGAGTGTGCTGCATAGAAAGTGCAGATTTCCGGAGTGTGCTGCATACAGAGTGCAGATTTCAGAGGTGTGCTGCATACAGAGTGCAGAGTTCAGGGGTGTGCTGCATACAGAGTGCAGAGTTCAGGGGTGTGCTGCATACAGAGTGCAGAGTTCAGGGGTGTGCTGCATAGAGAGAGTGCAGATTTCCGGGGTGTGCTGCATAGAGAGTGCAGATTTCCGGGGTGTGCTGCATACAGAGTGTGATGCATACAGAGTGCAGAGTTCAGGGGTGTGCTGCATAGAGAGTGCAGAGTTCAGGGGTGTGCTGCATAGAGAGTGCAGAGTTCAGGGGTGTGCTGCATACAGAGTGCAGATTTCAGGGGTGTGCTGCATACAGAGTGCAGAGTTCAGGGGTGTGCTGCATAGAGAGTGCAGAGTTCAGGGGTGTGCTGCATAGAGAGTGCAGAGTTCAGGGGTGTGCTGCATACAGAGTGCAGATTTCAGGGGTGTGCTGCATACAGAGTGCAGAGTTCAGGGGTGTGCTGCATACAGAGTGCAGAGTTCAGGGGTGTGCTGCATACAGAGTGCAGATTTCAGGGTGTGCTGCATACAGAGTGCAGAGTTCAGGGGTGTGCTGCATACAGAGAGTGCAGAGTTCAGGGGTGTGCTGCATACAGAGTGCAGATTTCAGGGGTGTGCTGCATACAGAGTGCAGAGTTCAGGGGTGTGCTGCATACAGAGTGCAGATTTCAGGGGTGTGCTGCATACAGAGTGCAGAGTTCAGGGGTGTGCTGCATACAGAGTGCAGAGTTCAGGGGTGTGCTGCATACACAGAGTGCAGATTTCAGAGGTGTGCTGCATACAGAGTGCAGAGTTCAGGGGTGTGCTGCATACAGAGTGCAGAGTTCAGGGGTGTGCTGCATACAGAGTGCAGAGTTCAGGGGTGTGTGCTGCATACAGAGTGCAGAGTTCAGGGGTGTGCTGCATACAGAGTGCAGATTCAGGGGTGTGCTGCATACAGAGTGCAGAGTTCAGGGGTGTGCTGCATACAGAGTGCAGATTTCAGAGGTGTGCTGCATACAGAGTGCAGAGTTCAGGGGTGTGCTGCATACAGAGTGCAGAGTTCAGGGGTGTGCTGCATACAGAGTGCAGATTTCAGGGGTGTGCTGCATACAGAGTGCAAAGTTCAGTATGTTTCTGCATTAATAGTGGATGTTAAAACTGATATCAACTGATGAAAAACTGATGTAAAAAAAACTGATCTGCTTTTTTATTTGAAAAAACTTGACTGAACCGATGAAAAAGAACAGAACGCCTGTGTGAAATGACCCTATATCGAGTATAGGGTTTCACACGGGCGTTGGTTTTTTTTTATGTAGATGTTGAGAGACTGTGGGATTTACTTACTAAAGGCAAATAAACTGCGCACACTGCAAGTGCAGTTGCCCCAGGGCTTAGTAAATGAGAAGAAATTCTGCTGACTTCCATCATCCAACCAGGTGAAAGAAAAAAATGCTGTTTTTTTTATTTTCCTTGCCTGTGATTGGGTATTCTTTGCAAAGTTTAGCTTCACCTCATTTACTAAGAGTGCAACTGCACTTTGCAAAGTGCACAGTCTATTTGCCTTTAGTAAATCAACCCCTGTGAGTGTGCAATAGGCAATGGTTAGAGACTGTGGGCATGCTATAGGAGATAGTTCAAGATCGTCAGGACATGTTACATGAGACTGCTAGAGCTCATTATTACCATTACCACTCTTTTTACAGAGCAGTGCTTCCACATTTGTACTTCCTACAGTTAAGAGGCAGACAGCACAGAAAAAAAGGCAATACAGTGGCTAAATGGTTAGCACTTCCGCCTGGCAGTACTAGGGTTGTTGGTTCAAATCCCAACCACGGAACCACCTGCCTGGAGTTTGCATGTTCTCCCTGTGCCTGCGTGGGTTATTCCATTTTCCTCCCACACTCCAAAGACATGCTGGTAGGTTAATAGGCTCCTGTCTAAATTGTCCCTAGTATGTGTATGTATGAATGTAAGTTAGGAACCTTAGACTGTACACCCCTTGAGGGTTGATGTGAATGTACAATATATATGTAAAAGCACTGCATAAATTGATGGCGCTATATAAGTACCTGTAATTAATAATAAAATAATAAGTACCTTTAATAAAAACGTATGGAAGAAATAAACCAAACAGTTTAACTGTCAGAAGCACCGGTTCTAAGTGAGCACCTAAAAGCACTGATTATTGGTTGCTGCGGTGCAAGGGCCATATGATGACTACCAAATGTTTGCATATTAGGCTCCAGGAGGTTACAACCTTTTGTAATGCTACTATTGTCTGTGTCTTCCTGTCCTAGTGACCTCAGTTCCAATTATTCCTTATCCTGAGGTCATAGGGACAGGAAATGCCAGGGAATCTCCCCAATAGGAATCACAAGGATCAATACAATCTCAACAGAAGCTTAATTTCTTCTCGCTTTTTGGAGGTGGCTTTTCAAACCAATACATATCCAGCATACAGGTAAAAAAAAAAATTACTATATTGTCAGCCTTTGTAAACGAGCCCTCTAATTAAATATATTAACATAGCATTTAGAGACATTTTTTTTTATGAACAAGTAAAACGAAACATTTACCTGCCGAGATTTACCAGCATTAGTCTTGCACCTTAGGGTAAGCTATAGATTTCCCCAGTGCCAGGAGCAGGGAGGACATGCAAATGAAGATTTTTGTCTTAAAATCCACATTTGCAGAGAATCAAAAATATGGCAATTGTATGTAATAAGAATACACCTAAAATGTTTTTATATTTTGGTACAGACACTGAGCCCATCAATTGCCCACTGATCTGGACCCCCTATGCTGGCTATTGTTATTATCTGTATAAAGAAGCGAAGACTTGGCAGAATGCCATGGTGTCTTGTAGGAAAGAAGAAGGGGACCTCGCAAGCTTGCACAATGTTGAGGAATCCAGCTTTGCTAATTCAAACTTTGAGTTTGGTAAGTAACCGTAAACTGATGGCTATTATTCTGTCAAGGAATATACTGGATTCTGTAACATTTTCAGCTTCTTTAGGCAACTTATTACAGTAATTTCCGAACACAAATCGGAAGCATTTATACACAATTGCAAGCAATATCACTTACAGTGCCCAAAAAATTAAATTATCACGTAAACCCCAGTACATAATACTCACTTTGTGACCTTCAGTTTAACCCTTAGGGCCCATTTATATTTTTTTCATTGTGGTAATGTGCACATTAACAAAGCACACAACAGCTCACATTACATGCATTGGTGCATTGCAGTGCCATTAATTCTGAAGCTGCATTCACATTTTGCGACTTTGAATTGCAGGCAGAATTTCCCGCAAGTGTAATTGCACGCAGACTGAATAGCACATCAATGCACTAAAGGAAACACATATGTGTTGTATTACAAGTTTTATGAATTTGCAATTTTTGGGCTGCTTTGGTGCATTGATAGCTAATTATTTTCAATGGGTTGCCCTAACACAATGCATGTTCACATGCAACATACCACAAGTAATGCACCCCACAAATGTAAACGGGCCTTTCAAGTGTAACTAGACCAAAGAAAACAAGTTAATAGATTGCAGCTTACCAGCCTTTAGATGTATTGGTTGCATTGATATCCTTTTTCAGAATTTTTTGTCCTTTATTTTCACCTGATGATCCTGCTGGTAACACACTTGCTGTCCGAAGGTAACAACACTTACTCACTTTTTTGTAAAGGGGTATAGCCTTGTCACCTTCCCTATCTCCTTCCCCATATTCTCATTTTCTTGACATAGGGAGAAGTTGTTCTGTAGTCCACAGGTGTCCACATAGGTGAAGAGTAGATTAAGTTATTAACTCACAAAATTTCCAGCAGGATTAATGGTATTTTCTTGTACTTGAGTAAATACTGTATATACGCTCCCCAGCCACTTTATTGGGTACACCTGTTCAATTGCTTGGTAACACAAATGACTAATCAGCCAATCAAATGACAGCAACTCAATTAGGCAAGTAGATGACTTGCTGAAGTTCAAACCAAGCATTAAAATAAGGAAGAAAGGGGAATTAAGTGACTTTGAACGTGGCATGGTTGTTGGTGCCAGATGGGCTGGTCTGAGTATTTGGAAAACTGCTGATCTACTGGGATTTTCACACACAACCATTTCTTGGGTTTACAGAGAATGGTCAGAAAAAGAAAAAAGATCCAGTGAATGGCAGTTGTGTGGACAAAAATGCCTTGTTGATGTCAGAGGAGAATGGGCAGACTGGTTCAAGATGATAGAAAGGCAACAGTTACTCACATAACCACTGGTTACAAACAAAGTATGCAGAATACCATCTCTGAATGCACAACACATGGGCAACAGCAGCAGGAGACCACTCCGGGTGTCACTTTTGTCAGCTAAGAACAGGAAACGGAGGCTACAATTCGCACAGGCTCACCAAAATTGGACAATGGAAGATTGGAAAAACTTTGCCTGGTCTTATGAGTCTCGATTTCAGCTGCAACATTCAGATGGTAGGGTTAGAATTTGGCATAAACAACATGAAAGCATGGATCCATCCTGCCTTGTATCAATGGTTCAGCATGGTGGTGGTGTAATGGTGTGGGGGATATTTTTTGGCACACTTTTGACCACTTAGTACCAATTGAGCATTATTTAAGTGCACGGCCTATTATTGCTGACCATGTCCATCCCTCTATGACTACAGTGCACCCATCTTCTGATGGCTACTTCCAGCAGGATAATGCACCATATCACAAAGCTCAATTCATCTCAAACTGGTTTCTTGAACATGACAATGAGTTCCCTGTACTCCAATGGTATCCACAGTCACCAGATCCCAATCCAATAGAGCACCTTTGGGATGTGGTGGCATCATGGACGTGCAGCCGACAAATCTGCAGCAACTGTGTGATGCTATCATGTCAATATGGACCAAAATCTCTGCGGAATGTTTCCAACACCTTGTTGAATCTATGCCAAGAAGAATTAAGTCAGGTCTGAAGGCAAAAGGGGGTCCAACCCACTAATAGCAAGGTGTACCTAACAAAGTGGCCGGTGAGTGTATATAAAAAAAAAATCAGCTGTAGATTTAACAAACCGAAAAGGGAGCAAATAAGAGAAGATCATTGTCTGGGTTTACGTTCACTTTAAACCTATCCAAAAATGCATTAAAACTTTGGTGCTGAATATTTTCACTTAAAACTGTGTGCCAAAATGAAATGATTTGTCTGTATTTGTATCACACCTAAATACTTTGCTTCTTGAGCAGAGGAAGGCAGATTGTACGACAAAGAAACATCTTTAGGCTACACCAGTTTGTCAAGTGATCACTAACTGGGATTCATGGGGGGGGGGGGGGGATTTACTAAAACTGTGCACACAGAATCTGGTGTAACTGTGCATAGAAACCAATCAGCTTCCAGGTTTTAATATCAAAGCTTATTTGAACAAGCTGAAGTTCGGTTACTATGGTTACTATGCACAGCTGCACCAGATTCTGTGTGAACCAGTTTTAGTAAGTCTCCCCCCATTGTGTTTGGACTTGAGCTCCTGTGCAAGATTTGTCTGCACAGCTTGGATCTTGCTAAAACAAATCCAACATTTATAGGATGTAATCATTTGTTGATCTCCAATAATTATTATATTACATGTTTCATACGCAGGGGCGGACTGACCATTTGGAAACTCGGGCGCTGCCCTAGGGCCTGGGGTCAGTAGGGGGCCCCATGAGATGCCCCTGATACCTTTCTCATAGGTTTTTTGAGCTTGGGCAAGGACACAGGGGCCCCATGATCCCCTATTGCCCGGGGGCCCCATGAGTTGTCAGTCCGCCCCTGTTCATACGATGTCATACAATAGCTGTTATAGCACCCTAACCAACAAGGCTGAGTCCAGCATGGTGTTCTATGGGAAAATACCAACTGGCCTTGAGCTCCTTCTAAATGACCAAGTTGCTAGTAGAAGCCTTGATATAACAAGAATTGAGTGTTTACATATGCACCTCTGTCTGTTCTTACATATTGGTACTCTATCATTCTTATTTTAGCTTTGGATAGAATGGGGAAGTACTGGAAAACCCTTTTACTTAGATACAACCAGGAATAACCATGCCAACCCTTACCCATGCTATCCAAAACGTTTCAAAACTTAGGGATTTTCCTTCCATTTATCAACAGTATTGGTAAAAAAAAAAATTATTAATAATGAAAACAGCTAAACTGTTTGAACACTGTCTTATAGAAGGAGCAGGGCATGTTTGGCTCGGATTGAACGATTTAAAGACACAAATGTATTTTGAGTGGAGCGATGGCACAGCAGTGACCTATACAGCATGGAAGAGAGGAGAGCCTTCACACATCGACAACAGAAGAGAGGACTGTGTCGCTTTAAACACAACGGTGCGTTACAGCTGAGTATAGTGAGATCCTATTACCCCAACCTACCCTAACCTACCCAACAACACAGAATGGCAATCTTGTGGACATCAGTAGACAAAGAAGACAAGGGATGTTACATATGGGTAGATTTACTAAAACTGGAGCACTCAGAATCTGGTGCCGCTGTTGATGGTAGCTAATCATCTTCTAACTTCAGCTTGTCCAGTTAAGCTTTGGCAATAAAACTTGGATGATGATTGGTTTCCATACAGAGTTGCACCAGATTTTGCACGCTCCAGGTTTAATAAATAACCCCCATTATTTAGGTTGAAAAAAGACACACGTCCATCTAGTTCAACCAATAGAAATTTTAAATAAATAGAAAATAAAAGACCTCCATATACAGAATCCCATACCCACAGTTAATCTAGAGGAAGGCAAAAAAAAAAAACTATAAAGCATGGTCTAATTTGCTCCAGTGGGGAAAGACATGTGTTCCTGCTCTCCTCAAGGAGATATTCCCTAGATCAACAGTCTTTGGTGTTATTACCCATAATTTCCAGCTTATTTATTGGGGTAGTCTAATTGGTATAACTAAGGAGCACAAGTTGTTTACCTAACAAAGTGGAAGTTAGTGTATAACGATCAGCTTGGATTTGGTCTGAACCCAGAAGGAAATTGTCAGTGCCGGCCCAACGGCCTACATACACAAGGGACAGGGATGCTTGTGACATTATTGACCTAATATGGCCACATGAGCAAATTCATTCACTGACATTGGCACTAACAGCTTCCTTCCAGGGGTCAGCCAAACATGGGTTTGAAACAAACCCCAGCTAATCCCTTTTAGTGAATAAGCTCAACCTGAGTTCACTTTAAAAATTCAGTCATATGGAAGGGGGTATAAAAAAAACAAAAACAAAAAAAAAACAGGAACTTTTTGGCACATGGTTGTGGATGCAATGTGAACACAGACACACCTTATTTACTAACATTCGCTTTGCTGGTTGAACAGTCTATATTCCATTAGTAAACAGACTTGACCATATAGCTCAGAATTTAATTAACATTTCTTCTCTTTTCTTTTCAGGTTGGTCATTGGACAGACCAGGCATGCGAGAAGATGTTTCCATATATTTGCAAGAAAAAACCCTTGCCGATTGACCACGAGCAAATGCCCATTGATGAGCCTGGCTGCAGTACGGTAATAAATTGAATTTCAAGTTATTACTTGTTTGTAGCTTTCTCTCCAGCTATTTCTTTTCTGAAAGATCAGAATCAGTGATCAGATCCATTCACTGATTCTGTCCACTCATAACTGAAGCATAGTAAACTGTGTTTACTATGCTTCCGTTTGTGAATGAACAGGAAGCTCTCTACAAAGCTATCCCTGTCCATTCGTTCTGTGTAGTGTGTGTAGTGTCCTCAATCTCCTTTCTCTGCATCAAAAGTGAGACACCAGGGGTCTGTTTTGACCCTTGATATCTCACCAAAGCCCTCAACAGGGCTTCTAAAAAAAATGGTAAAAATAGTAAATAATAAAATTGTAAAAAAAAAAAAATAGTAAAAAAAAGTTTTACTGACACCAGTAGCGGAACTACCAAGGTTGCAAAGATTGCACTTGTGACCGGGTCCTGGTGTTCTGCCAATGTGGGGGAACCCCGAGACAGAAGGAAGGGGGCCTGCTGCAGAACATGTGAAAGGGTCCTGCTACTGGATTGAAATAAAGGGCCCTGCGACGGGATTAAATGGGGGCCCTTCATGGTTTCCTGCACCAGGGTTCTTAAAGTACTAGTTACACCTCTACTAGATCAGCGGTGCTAGTTACACCACTGCTGGATCATTTTTAGTTTATTAGGTATACACGTAGAGAGCAGCACTGCACTATATAGTTATGCTCAAAAGTTTGCCTGCCCTGGCAGAAATCATAAAATTGTGGCATTGATATTGAAAATATGACTGATCATGACAAAAAAACTGTCTAATGATAACAGAAATCACCCAAATTGCCCAGATCAAAAGTTTACATACCCTGGAATGTCTGGCCTTGGTACAGACACACAAGGTGACACACACAGGTTAAAATGGCAATTTTAATTTCCCACAACTGTGGCTTTTTAAATTGCATTTAGTGTCTGTATATAAATAGCCAATGAGTTTATTAGCTCTCACATGGATGCACTAAGCAGGCTAGATACTGCACCATGGGGAGCAGAAATGAACTGTCAAAAGACCTGTGTAACAAGGTAATACAACTTTATAAGGATGGAAAAGGATATAAAAAGATATCCAAAGTCTTACATATGCCTGTCAGTACTGTTCAATCACTTATGAAGAAGTGGAGATTTGGGGAGTTTCTTGATACCAAAACAGGAAGACCAAGAAAGCAAACACAACTGTCAGAAAAACTTTTGGCATACAAAGAAAAACACACAGAAAACCACAGGAGAAATACAGGCAGCTCTGGAACACGAAGTTGTGGTTGGTTTAAGGAGCATAATATGACAATACATGAAGAAAAATGAGCTCAAGGTCGAGTTGCCAGAAAGAAGCCTTTACTCCGTCAATGCCACAAAAAAGGCCAGTGAAGCGTGTGAAGATGTCATCGAACATATCGTAACTTTGCTTTTTTGTAGCATTTGCACAGGAAAGGCTTCTTTCTGGCAACTCGACCATGCAGCTCATTCTTGTTCAAGTATTGTCATATTGTACTCCTTGAAACAACCACACCCCTCTTTTTCCAGAGTAGCCTGTGTTTTTTCTGAGATTACCTGTTGGTTTTTTTGTATCCTGAACAGTTCTTCTGGAAGATGTGACTGTAATCTTCTGTGGCCTAGTTGTGGAAAATTAACCTTTAATTGCCATTTTAACCTGTGTTTTAACTTTGTGTGTCTGTACCAAGGCCAAACATTCCAGGGTATGTAAACTTTTGATACGGGCGATTTGGGTGATTTCTGTTATCATTATGATTAAAAAGGAGCCAAACAACTATGTGAAAATAAATGGCTTCATATGATCATCATCCTTAAACAAAAGATAGTGTTTTGGCATGATCAGTCATATTTTCCAAAAAATGGCCAAAATGTAATGATTTCTGCCAGGATATGCAAACTTTTGAGCACAGCTGTATATTTCTTAATATTTGTGATAAAGGTGTGTGGTACACTGGGTTGTGCAAGTACAATGCACAGTAGTAAGCAGCAAGTGTGTCCTATTAGTGATAGGCGGCGCACGTGTGTCGGGCCAGTCCAGGGACCGTTAATCAAGATGGCAGACAGCAGTGTTAGTCCATGCATGAAACATCGTGTGGTGATGAAGTTTTTTGTGAGCCAATGCGTAAAAATCCGCTGACATCTACAGAAGACTTCAAGCACAGTACGGTGATGAGACGTGTACCTCCAAAAGTAATATAAAACTAGATAGTGTATTATCCTCAATACATCAGTGATTAAAACCTTATATACATATGTGAAAAATTGTGAAAAACACAATATAAAAACACAACGTGTATAACACGTGAATTAGTGAGGCACTCCATGTACACACCTATATAAACACTTCTCCGTGGCTAGAGTGAATACACTTACCCTAAATATGTGATTTCTAGGAGAAATAATCCAGTGGGCCATCACTCCTCATGATTATCCCACGAACGCTATACCAGATGCCGGGTTATCCCATACTTCAAAGCATGACATATTACTTCCCAGAGCCATCCATAGGCAATCACTCATAGAAGAAGAAATACAATATAGTGTAGTATGTCAAATATATTAGATCCAGGCTTTATTTAGATGTGCTTACATTAAAATAATATAAAACCGCATATAAACCGCACATATTCCCATTCCCATCTAACGAGCAGCTTCCAAGAACACCAATATCGATGTAACCTTAATTAAGATGGCCGCTCCACCACTTTTGGTCACCGTGCAATGTCCGACGTCACGTCCCTTGACGCGTTTCGTCACTTCCTGACTTCCTCATTAGACCCCTTCTTCTATGAGTGATTGCCTATGGATGGCTCTGGGAAGTAATATGTCATGCTTGGAAGTATGGGATAACCCGGCATCTGGTATAGTGTTTGTGGGATAATCTTGAGGAGTGGTGGCCCATTGGGTTATTTCTCCTAGAAGGCTTTTTGATCACGTATTTAGGGTAAGAGTATTCACTCTAGCCACATAAAAGTGTTCACGAAGTGTTTTTATATTGTGTTTCTTACAATTTTTCACATATGTATATAATGTTTTGATCACTGATGTATTGAGGATAATACACTATCTAGTTTTATTCTATTTTTGGAGGTACACGGCGATAATGGATCATATTTTTGGATTATTACACTGAAGAATATACTTGGAAAGATTCACTGATGCTAAAGAGGATTCATGATTTATATTTTTGGACTTTCAAGGGTGAAAGTGTGACTTTTGTGTCAAAGTATAGGGTATTCATTTATTCACATTTTATTACTGCTTTTTGGACAGCGATTTTGTATTCAGTATATACGGTGACAGGGGCGGGCTGACAACTGATGGGGTCCCCGGGCAATAGGGGATCATGGGGCCCCTGTGTCCTTGCCCAAACTCAAAAAAAACCTAAGAAAAAGGTACCAAGGGCATCTCATGGGGCCCCCTACTGACCCCGGGCCCTCAGGCAGTGCCCGAGTTTCCAAATGGTTAGTCCGCCCCTGTACGGTGATGAGATGCTCAGCTGTAGTAAGACATTTAAATGGTGTAAATGTTTCAATGATGGCTGTACGTCCGTCAGTGACCATCCCGGCTGTGGTGGTTCCCAGCCCACAGCAGTCATTCCTCTGATCATTCAGCACGTGGAATGCCTGATCCTGGATAATCGAACCGTTACCTGTACAGAAATTGTACAAGAGACACATTTTTCTGTGGGAACGGTGAACACAATGATAGCAAAGTGAAGCAGGTTGTCCTAGGATGGCATACTGTCAAATCTTTCCATGGCGAAGCTTTCCAGTTATTCGCTAAAAGCTGGGATAAGTGAATACATGTAGCAGGGGAGTATGACAAAAAATAAATGCAGTTTCCACTCCTTGAAATTTATTCTTTTAATATATAAACTGAAAAGTCCCAGTTTAACCTGAATGCCCCTAGTAGTTCAAATTAGCAGATTTCACTGATTGCATGCTTGTTCCTGGTCAGTGGCCCACTAGGACTGAAATCAAGTTTAGGATAGCAGCCTTACATCTTCACTTTTAGGTGTACTGGCCATTTTTGCTATTTTGGGTTTCCACGGTATGTTCATTGGCGGTCCACGCTCAACAAGGCATTAAGGGTGAAGGTGCAGGATGGATTTTTGTTCAGTTAGACCTGCACCTGTCCTCTGTGTGAATGAAACCTGGAAATCTGAGCAGTGTTTTTTTTTATGAATATGAAGACAGTAAACAATTTTGAACAAATTTGACAGTTTGAATTTGAAGATCAATCTTCTGAGCAAATGTGATTCACTTCTGTGTTCTTGGTAATGTGATCCAAGATTGCACAATATGCTGACCCACACTTTGTCCACTTCTCTTTTTGTGGTTTGGTGCGAAAGTTTCTCTTTCTTTGTGGATTGTTGCAAAAAATAAAATGATATTAAAATGATTTGGAGATTTGGACGAAGCTGATAGCAAAAAAGGGACTTTTCTGAGTTCAGAATATAAATTGAATAGCTTTTTTTTGTAGCGCTACCCCCAGAAGAGCCACTTTAATTTTGGTTCTCTGTTCTTTTGCCTCAACTCAACTGAAATAAATTACGTTTTGCACGATATTCTAATTTTTCGAGTTTTACCTGGCAATCTGCAATAAAAGGCAATCTGCAAACCCGCATTCACAAATGGCACAGATAACAGCAATGGCAATAGAGATCAGTGCTGTTATAGTATTCCTGCGCCCAATATAATGTACCGCTAGAGTGCAATAATTATGGTGAGACCCAGACCTTACTGCAGAGGTACTCAGTCTATAGGCAGCAAGAGCAGCTATCTGAGGAGATGGTTCTTTGCCCTAGTTCTTTAGCCAGCTAGCTTTGGGGCCCTGTCTTTATGATGGTGCACATAAATATAGTTCCAGTAAAGTCTGCATGCAGTTGCAAAGGCTGCTAGTCAAATGTCCAGTGTGCTCAGTGTCTACTAGCAGCAATAAGTCAGTGGCAGCAATGCTCTCTCACCAGTTCCAGAGATACAGCGGCAACGTCCAGCTGTTTAGATGTCCTCTGAATCTGGGGTGTCCCTGGTCATCAACCCACAAGCCAACAGTGCTCTGGTTTCTGTGCAGCAAGACACTGTGTCCTGATAGTAGCTTAATCCCTGGTCTCTGTACACACAGGTACACACCTCTCTGGTTCCCAACACACAGGACACAGGTACACACCTCTCTGGTTCCCAACACACAGGACCCCATTTTCTGGCCCAGGCCACAGGCTGGTGGCTCGATGATGGCATGCACACAGGAAGATGTATACACCCTGGTCCCCTCGCTCGAGGAAATAATTTGGTCCTCAGATCCTTTCTCCTCCTTTTCACTGTCTCTTTCTGGGAACTGTAGTCCAATGGTCCATAGGCTTCCACAGCATGGCTCCCATCTGAACTTCAATTTCCACAGTCACATGTGGCCAGCATACAAGTCTCTTGAGCTCTTTGGACTTGTCAGCTCCCCCTGTTGGGTGTAGGTGAAAGTGTATCAGTCCATTCAGCATGAGAGTATGAGCACCCAGAGAGCATTTGAAGTACAGTGTCCTAATTTTGCTCTTTGACTATAGCCAAGCACCTGGCTACATTTAACCAAAGTTTAGTGTTACTTTAAGTGCTGCTATATAGGGGATTGCAGAAACTAATACCAAGTGAAATTCAAGTCATTTCAGTCATTGCCATTTTTAAAAAATACATTTATAGACTGATCACTGAAAACGTGAAATCTGTGGCTACATTTGTTCTCTATGGTCCCACAGTATGTGGATATGTAGCCACCCTCTCGCCCCCAAGATGAACTATGGACTATGGGATTTGCACTGTGCATAGAGCAGCTCACATGACTGCAACTAATATGCATTGCTCAGAAGTGAGGTGAGGGGGGGGGGAAAAGGAGAGGTTTGGGAGTTCTCAGAGGACATTACAAGGAGAGAGAAAAACACCGTAAGAAAGTATTTCATGAAAATCAGATTACAGGGCCATTAAGTAGTGGATGTATATGGAATATTTTGGCGAATAAGGATTTAGTGTCACTTTAAACTAATAGCAGATGGAGAGTTGCTACAAATATGCTGACAAGGAACAAGCTGATAGGAAACAAGCATAGAGTGAGCAGAGGGATGACATGATTAGTCTGCTGCTGCTCTTTTACTGTCCAGTAAAAAAAGGCTGAGGGTGAAGAGGTAACAACACCATATCCTTTATGTGGTCAAACTAACTGATGTCATCTGTCTGGCTGTCCTGTGTGGCAGAGCTCTGTAAATCCAGGGAATGTATGGACACAAATACAACTCCTTTGGCAAGAAAACTGTTCTCATGTATACATTTCTGTGTATTCAGCCGTTTGTCTGGAGTTCAGCTTTAATATACACAGATTTCTGATGTGTCGGAGTAAAGGAACACTTATCTGGTCACATGTGTGCCAAGCTCAGCCAATAGCCAAGCCAGTGAGAATATTCTGGTGGGTCCTGTCTTTAAATCAAGGCAGGCACATGTCTCCCCAACATTCGCTGTTTTTAAAACCTAATTGAACTTCCTTTTGGTGGTATTTAATCACCACTGGGTTTTTTTTTTTTTGCTAAATAACAAAAGGCCGAAAATTTTGAACAAAACCACATTTTTCTTTGTTTCTGTTATACAATTTTGTAAATAAATAATTGTTCTTCATACATTTAGGCCAAATGTATTCTGCTATATTTCTTTGGTGAAATATTATTTAGTCTGTAGGAAGGTTATAGAGTCCACAAATTATGGCATATACTGTATATCTGAAAATTGATCAATCCTGATGTATCTCATTTCTTGAAGCCCAAAAATGTCAGGACAGTACAGATATCCCCTAAAATACCCCTTTTTGGAAAGCAGACAGTTCAATGTATTTAGTAACAGGCATGGCGAGTGTTTTGAAGCTGTAATTATTTTGTCATAACTTTTTGGATAATGAAGAAAAAAAAAATTGTTCACAATTTTTTCTACATTCTGTCACCACTGCAGTACAGGGTCATCGTATAACTGGTGTGGCGGTGATCAAGGACACTGACTGGTGACAGTACAAAAAAAACAACAACAAAAAAAAACAAACATTGTACTATTCTGGGGAAGTGATCAGTATTTTGTTTTTACACATTATGATTGCTTATAGCAATGCATTTCATTGCTATAAGCAAGCATTGTACTGAATGGAATTGACTAATTCATTTTTTTTGTTGTAATTAGCTGTGATTGGCCACAGCTAATCACATGTTTACATAGGGCCACCCGCTGAGAGGCCGCATATATGCACCGCGTTAGTGGGAAGATGTTAAATGAAAAGTTAAAGTGATTCTAAAGCTTCAGTTACTTTTTTTTATATTAAAATAACAAACATGTCGTGTTTAATTGTTCTGTGCATAGGTTTTGATCATCACTATCCCCCTATTCCTCTTTTCAGTTCCCCAACTTCCTATGGGGGCACACATGCGGGCTCACTGCCTACATCCATAGACACAGACAGTGGGGCACTGCCTCACCTCCCCCCCCCCCCCACTCCCTCATCACAAAGTTTAATTGACAGCAGCAGGAGCCAATGGCTCTTGCTGCTTTGGATCTGCCCTATGAGGAGGGACAGAGCCTGGACAGCCACTGCTCTCATGCACACTGCTGGATCGCAGTGGGGCTCGGGTAAGTATAAGGGGGGGGGGGGGGGGGGGGGGGGTCTGGGGGGGATACCAGGCACAAAAGTTTTTTTTTTACCTTATTGCGTAGAATGCATTAAGGTAAAAAACCTTAAGGCTTTAGAACCACTTGAGGCTTGGTTCACGATAGTGCGGGTAGAAGTTGCTTCAGGACCCATATTTTGTCCCGCAGCTGCAACCGTCTGCACACAAAACGTAGGACCCGTGGGCAGGTGCCATTAATCCTAATGGCACACTGTCCGCACTAGAAATTGCACCCGCACTGGGAATCGCACTGTAGTGCGTTTGCCAGTTTGGGCTGCAATTTCTGGAAAGGTGCAGGGTTCTTTTACCTGTGTTTTGCGAGGCACAGCAGCCCATTCAAATGAATGGGTTGCTATGCCATGGCCCACAAAATGCCACTAGTGTGAATGGAGGGTAAGTTGGGCTTCTAAAAAAACCTCCAATCAACAGTTTTTGTTCTGTCTCATGCCTACTCTCTGCCCCAAAGGCAATACAGGAAATTTAGAAATTCTCTCCAACAGGCTACCAATAAAAAATGTATTAGATGTTTTAACCTTTCCCAGCTTTAATCAGAATTAAACAAAGTTGTTGCTGGAGTTCAACTTTAATTGTATTTATGATTAACAGAAAAGATGCCAGAATACAGGTTTTCATGCTATCACCCACAGATAGATGGCATGAAAAATTATATTCTCTGTGACCAACACTTTAATCTTCTAATGATGAAATGGTTCAACAGTGAAACAGTGAAACAGATACCGGAACATTTACATTGTTTTCTGTTTTTAATTGAATAGACACACAAAACTATGGAATTTGATCATTCAGTTTAGTGATTGTACTGTTATGTTTGCAGGGATGGAAAAGACATGGATTCTATTGCTATTTCATAGGTGAAGAAACTTCCACATTTTCAGAAGCCAACTCCACTTGCAATACACATACAGCATTTTTGATGACAGTGGAAGACAGGTATCATGTATAATGCACCAAAATTCCTCATTTGATGAATCTTTTGCTTTTTCATGAAAAAAATTGTATTCTTACAATTCAGCAAAAATATCAATTGGTTAAAGAGGGAATGTTAATAATCATATGACAGGATGTTGACTTTTTGGCATTTGCAGATTTGAACAGGCCTATCTAACAAGTCTGATTGGGCTTAGACCAGAGAAATATTTCTGGACAGGACTCTCAAACATGGAAGAAAAGGAGACTTTCAAATGGACCAACAATGAGAGGGTTTTGTACACTCACTGGGATGCTGAGAGCCCAGGTAAGTCACCCAATTTTATTGTTCCCTGTTTGTGTAGGGACTGAGTGAACAACATGGAAAGTGCCAGGTCCAGATTTAATGTTGTTTAGACTCTTATGTCATAAAAGGTCAATGCATATCGGGGGTTCAAATGGTCCCTCTCCACCAGGGCTTGGTACTGTTCGACAAAGTGTCTACTGGATGGATAAAATTAGAGGAATCCTGAGGGGTAATTACTATGACAGACCCAGTTGCAGGTTAAAGTGGTTGTAAACCTCTGAAATGAACAATTAATGAAGTATATTCCTCTATAATGTGTATTAGCTTCAATCCTGTCTGATATATCCTTCCACAACTGAACTCCTGCATGAGTCATAGGTTAATCCAACACCACAGAATCTCAGGAGACAGCCTGCCTCCAGACCGGGGTCTCCAGTACACATATGGTGATTGATAGCCTCAACTGTGCATGTTTAAAATAATATGAGAAACAAAAATAGTTATCAGAGGGGGTGTGACCTTTCACAGGCTGCTCAGGTCTGAACAAGATGTATGATCCAAACAACATCTGAGTCCATACTATGCTGTGTAGTAACTGTAATGTCAGATCCCTGCCCTCTGAGGTTTTGGAGCTGAGAAAAATCTTGAATTTGTGTGTTTTAGAAGGCTGTAGAGACGAGAGGGCTGCAGATAAAGAAGCACAACTTACGTAGGAAAATTTTGTTTCATCCCTGTGTATCACCTGAGGCCATCACTTCACTGGGTATATGTAAGGGTTTACAACCACTTTAAGCCCTTGTTTGAGACTTTGTTGTTGTCTGGGTCAGTTCTGACTGTGTAACAGTTCGTTCACATTACTGGCACATTCTGTGCGGTAAGAGCAGCGGCTGCCTGACTGTTAGAAGAAAATACTTCCACCTCCTGAATACCTGCTTTTTTTGTGGCCAAAGGGGAATTTTCTATTTGAAATATCCTACCACAACCGCAGTCAAGCATTTGGGTTTTAGTTACAATACGGACCTATTCATATAAAGCAGAAACTACCTTCTCCCTCCAGTGTTGTGGTGGGTAAATTCCTTGCCAGCTGCTGTCTCCATCTTCTCATCTGCTATTTCTGGGTGCCAGGTTTTTGTCCTCTAGATTAGCTGGTCGGGAAATGACGTCATCGTGCACATGCTCATGGAAGCGTGTCATTCTGGAACAACAGGAGTATTCGGGGAATGCAGGCTGAGCTGCGAGAATGCAGGCTGAGCAGGCAGCTATCTACTCACAGTTTTATATTATTTTTTTTTTTTTTTTTAAAGGTAACTACTATTTATGTTATGTTCCACTTTAAATGGGTCATGTGTGGCAGTGCCTGCCAAGTGCCTCCACTGGGGGTCTTATCATGATTACTGGCGCAGAAACTGCCAGCCAGTAACTTCCTTCTCCAGCTATTAGCTTCCTCACACAGATCCACACAAGAAAACTCTATTTTGAGTCCATTCAGATTCTTATTTTAACTGAGCCCTAATGAAGGGGATTTTTTTTTTTTCTGAGCCCCAAAATGCATTGGGTGAGTTTTTCAAATTAATTTAGACTTTTTTATCTTTTGGTCTGGTGCTCCTTCCATTAGTGTATTTTTTTTTTTTTTCAAGTGCCTCCATTGGGTACTGTGCCTCTACTCTACACATCTCTGACATTTTTAGGCAGCATGTGCCTTTCACATAGTACTGTGAGCCATATTCACATCTGTGTGAACTGCATAGCTACTGTGTTCCTGTGTGTGTCTGTATTAATGAAAATGTTTAATTTTGAAGGGAGAAAACATGGTTGTGTTGTGATGAGAACTGGAAACAAAGGCGGGTTGTGGGATGTTGTCAACTGTGATGAGAAAGTTAAGTTTGTCTGCAAGAAATGGGCGCAAGGAGTGACGCCACCGCCAATACCGACAACAACGCCAGAGCCAAAGTGCCCAGAGGGATGGGGGACAAACAGCTACATAAGCTCTTGTTTCAAGGTAAGTAGGGGGATTTCTATAAAGGTGCATTTCCAAGAAAGTGCAATGGCTCCTCATGTCTCCCCCTTGTCTTCATCTGCTCTGTTCATATAGTGCTTAGATTTGAGACAGAGAGCCTGAAAGTGATCAACTCTGCTGTGCGCTCTGTTTAGAAACCCCACAATGCTTTGTGACACTGGTACATCCTGTATTTAGTGTTTATTAGTAAAATATTTAAAGCCAAAGTTTATTCTGCTCATATTTTGCCTTCCCTGATTCTTTTCTCCACCTCCATCAACACGCCAATATTAAAAAAAAAAACTCCTTGTTTTTTTTACATACCCTATTTTAGACCAAGCAATGTAATCATTGGGTGTCTTTGCTTCTTTATGCATAAGGCAGGCAGATCATGGCTGGTGGGAGAGGCCAGCAGGGTGCTGTACATAGCTTTTTTAAAATATCACAGCTCCCTGCCTCAGTGCTCCTCCATGGGCTCTGGCTTTTGGAAGTGTTGTGGAAATATCAGAATGCCTTGATGGGCACAATATCAGTCTGGAGGAGTGTGTAGTAGGTAATGACAGGGTGCATTTACCGTGGAGCAAACAAGGCGTTTGCCTTGGGTAACCATTTTCAGGGGGGCAGCACCACCCCCTGGAAGCAGTGCTATTTCTGAGGCCGGTGACTGAGCCTCAGCTCAGTGGGAGGTAACAAACAGAGCGGACGAAGGTCAGGCCAGGAAGGAAAGCATCGGTGGCCACCGCAGGGTGTGCACAGGACGGTTGGAAGTGGCCCCCATCCCATGCTTGTGGTCACTCCCTGGGTGTGTGTTGGGGGGAGTACGGGCTGGGAAGATTCATGACAGACCTGCTGATTGTCAGCCAGGGTGGACGGTGAGCCTAGCAGGCAGGTGGGGCATTTCCCTACCCAGGGATAATCTGTCAGAGCCTCATTGATTGATCTCCCATCTGATGTAGTGCTGTATATATACAGCAGTATGCTTCTCTCTCTCTCTTTCATTTTGTGCCCTATCCTAACAGAATTATTTCCAAAAATTAATATTATTAATGATTAAACTATTATTATGATTAAATATTATTACGCCCCAATATACCCTTCGCTCCATTGGCTCCAATTTAGATGGGGGGGGGGGGGGGGCCTGATTTAGTGCTTCCTAGGGCAGCAGAAAACCAAAATACATCACTAGGTAATGCCCACATGTAATGTTGAGCCTCCATCATCACTAAAACAACTAACATCCAATGAATGGAAGGGGGAGTCATGCCTGGGAAGAAAGAGCTAGAAATCCTTTAGCCCATGCATGTGTACTGTAGTTACCTTATTTCAGCACCTTTCTCCATTCTCTGCATTTTATAGAAACCGAGGGTGAATCGAAGAGCATATCCTGCACTGCAAATACACAGGCAATGTACACCCCAAAGTTGCTAGAATAAGGGAAAAGTAGTTTTATGGCAGAAGAGACATAAAAAGTCTCTTCTGCCAAATAACTCTACCCCCTAGCAAATTATTTTCAACTTTATTTTCTTTTCCTTTAAACCTGCCAACAACTGAAGTGTAGTACATAGGCCTGCCTGATTATTACTGAATGGATGTTTAGGGGTGCACTTGTGTTACACAGCTTTGGCACATATGAAGGAGATTGTACAGAGATCGTAGAATCGGATTGTAACAGGTATAGCCAGTTTAAAGCTGATTAAGAAACAACCCTGGGAGCCAATCAGGCTCTGCCGCATACACACCTCATGTTGAGTAACATGTTAGTAGAAGAAGAGAATGACCTCATCACTCTGTTGCTGTTCCTTTGTTGTATAATAAGCAAGTGAGTGGTGTATTCCTGACTAAGCTGCTGCAATGGAGGTCCAGGACTTTGCTGGGCTGTCTGGCAGGGGTGACTGGATCATACGACTGGCTGAACAGGAATACAGATAATTCCTGTACATTTAGTTTTATGTCTGCAATTCAGTCTTAAAACCCAAGAGCAAAAATGTAATATATTACAGCTTACCAATCTTAAGATGTGGCTGATGTTCTATTTGACTTACAAAAAATGGCCACTGCCCCAATCTATAATTGACCTTCACAGCAAGGAGCACATGAAAGGGCAGGCCATGTCAAACAATAAAAGAGAAAAATTCCCAGCTCGACTTACCGACCAGCCTGCGAAAAAAATTAATTCTCCTATCTAACAGTATGCGTTAAACACTGGGGTTTAGTTAGCACACATTTGCAAATACATGCGTAAGCTACAGAGCCTCTTCACGGCACCCCAATATTCTGTAGTTCCTAACTCTGAATTTTGAGAGTCCCCATAGTAGAAGCACATGTATAAATGGATAGACTGAGGGCAGGTGAGCCTGAAGGAGCCCACCCCTCCTTAAAGGTACAGGAGCGCACTGGACATGTGGCATAAGGCACAATGGCAGCCAGGGTGTCCACTGCACCCCCTCACCAGTATATCAATAGTACAGACACATGTTCTATCTGACTTGTATGTATGTTTTTATGTTGTATTGAATTGCATTAAGTTACTAGTGTTCTAAAGTATGCTGAAATCTAGTGGAGGTTTTCGTTCAGTCTTAGCCCTGTTTCTTCCATGTTCTCTCACCCTAGGATCACATCTGTGCAGGTTGGTGCCGCTGCGGATCCGCACTAAAATCTGTGCAACCGCACCACCCGCACAGTGAAATGCAGTTCTAATGGTAGTTCTAATGGCACGTCTGCCCGCACTGGAAAAACGCAACCGTACTGGGAACCCTCTGAGGGCTCGTTTTCAAAGAAGTGCAGGGATTTCTTTCCCTGCGTGTCACGGGTACGGGTGTCCATTCAAATGAATGGGATCTTGTGCCCGTGCAAAACGCGACCCGCACGGCCGCATAGATGTGAACCGGGGGTCAGTCACTGTTAGTTATTGGCAGAGACTGGGCTCAGGAAAGACATTGACTTACAACTCAAGAGACTGAGAAACATGTCCTCTGTACTGTATATAGCTTAAGTAAAATTGAGTTGGATTCAAATTATGGAGAAGAGTCACTAAAACTGGTGCACACAGAAGCTAGTGCAGCTGTGCATGGGAGTCAATCAACTTCTAACTTCAACTTGTTCAATTAAGCTGTCGCAATAAAACCAGAAAGCTGATTGGTTTCTATGCAGAGCTGCACCAGATTTTGCACACTTAAGTTTTTGTAAATAACCTCCATGTGTCTTATTAGAGAGTTAAGCTGCCTGCGGATGGTGCCAAGTCAGCAGGTAACCAGGCTTTTCGGACAGGCTGGGTCTAAGGAGGTTTGTCATAGCATAAAGTGACATGTGAAACAGAACATCTGCATCTAATAACAACGCACCTCTGTCCTAGAGTAACAATGCTCACTCAATGCATTGTATCTATGGAGGAAAAGTATTGTCTCCCTGGGACAGGAAGTATGTTAGAACCATAGAACAACTCCTTATTTCTTTATCAATATAATTTTGGGGGAAGTGATTCTGTAGTCCTAACATGTCCTGAGAACATAGTCGTCAAAGTGAACAGATTCACAGGGCTGGATTTCTGGTGACATCAACAAATCGGACAACAACACTTTCAATAGTATATTTAGCAAATGAAAAGATAGTGAATAAAGGAAATTCATTGTTAGGGTTTACATATGGCTGACTGCATCCATAAAAAACACAGGGCTGAATATGGTTAATAAATTAATCCCAGCCACGGCAATACCTGGCTGAAGTTTGCATGTTCTCCCGGTGCTGCGTGGGTTTCCTCCGGGTACTCCGGTTTCCTCCCACACTCCAAAGACATGCTGGTAGATTAATTGGCTCCTGTCTAAATTGGCCCTAGTATGTGTATGTATGAATGTGAGTTAGGGACTTAGATTCTGTGCCTCTTGAGGGTTAGGGACTGATGTGAATGTACAATATATATGTAAAGCGCTGCATAAATTGACGGCACTATATAAGTACCTGAAATAAATAAATGTATTTTTGTTGTTACTTAATGCATTTTTGGTTAATTAATGTATTTTTCTTTCTTTGTTGCTAACACTGTGACCTCACTATTAATACATTCACAATTTTTCCTGTATTTGTCATTACCAGTATTACACAAGACCAGATGGACAGAAGAAGTCATGGTTTGAAGCCCGGGACTTTTGCCAAGCAATGGGTGGAAATTTGCTCAGTATAAACAACAAAGAGGAACAAGCTGCAGTGCTTTCAGTGATCGTGTGAGTAATGGTGCCTGGGACATAGCAACTTTGTGTGTGAAAATGTATTTTCCAGCATGCTGGGGATCATGTGATAACTTTCCGGAAACAAGCCTTCTATGAACCTAACCAGGGCAGGAACTTAATTATAATGCGTCACATGTCAGGTTCACCCTACATTGGTCAAACATTTACTGATGAATCATCGCCTGATCTACAAAATACATTTTCTGCTTCTGTAAAAATAAAATGTTATTCCTGCGCCTGTCTTCATAAAAACTATGAGGCTGGGACCTATTGGCCACCTACAATACGTTATATATACGTCCCGATTATGAAGTGGAATACCATGCCATAATTTCGTAATAAAATTTTCAGCAGCTGTTGCTGATTCTCCTGAAAGTGATCCGAGCAGTTGATTAGCCGCTGGATCACTTTTAGGAGCAGTGGGAGGGGTTGACCCCCTCTCCCACCACTTTCTGGTGGTTCTTAGGTTTACCTGCCTGACTGGTGAGCCCTGTAACCAATCCGGCAGTTATGGCCTCTAGTCATAGAGAGGATATATCGCCTCAGTTAATCTTTATGACCGGCAGTGTCAGTGTGGCTCCTACCCGACAGCTCATTCCCATTCATGCTGAACACATCGCCCCTGGCCGTGGAGCAGTGTGGGAGCAGCTTCCTCTCATCCACGCCCATCCCCGGATACGTTAGCCCTGGCGCCAGAGCCGTGTGGGAGCCGATTCCTCTCATCCAAGCCCACCCTGGCCCCAGAGACATGTGGGAGATGTAGTTCAATGGGGGGGGGGTGGATGAGATCTGGATCTGGATGTGCCAGTCAGTGTGCGCTCATCTGCCCACTGAGATGGCTCTGAGTGCCAGATCTGGCATGCATGCCATAGGTTTGCCATCACTGGACTGGACTCTCTGCAACAATTGCAGAGTGATCGAGTTTACAGCAACTTGCTTGAGGACCAGTGGTTGGCCTGAATGTTCCTTTCTCTGATCACAGATTCACTTTTGTCAATTAAATTGTTGTACCACTTCAAAATGGATTTGTTAGTAGGCAGATCCACATTAGATTTGCGTTTGAAAGCACTCTGCAGTCACAATATTGTTTGTTTTAGTAAATACCAACATGCACCAGCTGCATTGCTGTGGGGTGAGCATCCATGTTGGATTTCACTGTCCTTTGGCAGTGGGAGGCGTGCACGGAGATTGTGTGGGAGAAAAAGAGGACCTCCACCCAAAAGGGGAAGTTTCGCTTTAAGGCTTCATGACCTGCTCCCCGTTAAGGATTGGCACCTTTAGGGAGCGAGGGAGGGTGCCCAAATTTGACATGTACCTGCTCCCACTTCCACTGCAATCGCCTAAGTGATTGGAAGCGGAAGTTGTCCTCCCTCCCCGTAGTCTTTCGGGACATGGGACAGGTCCCAGAAAACCGTGGGACCATTCACAAAGCGCAGCGCTACTCGCACATGTGCAGCAGGCACCCGGATGTGAAGCCACAAGCTGTCACAGCCGGGTGCCCACACAAAAGATGCCAGCCGGGGACACAGGACGGCCGGGGAACCCGGCCACTGTAAGGACACTACGGGATCGAGGGACAGGTGACTGTTTTTTTAAAAGTCAAGACTTTTATTTTTTTATTTTGACTGTATGTCTGCCTTAATGGATCTCTGGTCACCATATTTGTAAACATACTCCAATAAGTTTTGATTTTATAACTATTTGAAATCAAGGAGTGTTTTTGTGTTCACCCTGTATATATTTATATCTTTTTAACATTTTGCTTCACATTATTCTGAAAGTACGGTAAAAGTTTTTAGTAAAATTTTTTGTTGGTTCTTCCAGACAAGCTGCTGCAAGGAAAAGCGCCTGGATTGGTCTTGTGAAGAGTGATCCTGATGAAGGCTTTCAATGGTCAGATGGTTCGCCTGTAAGTCACTTTGTATATGTTTGTTGTACATGATATTTAATATTCAAAGTTTACACATGTGCAGAAAACTAGGTGAATAAAAAAAAAATTCTAAAAAATCTACTATAGCCACTTTACAGTTTACCCTCTCAGAACATCATAGACTGCAAACTCTTGCAAAAAGTCAAATTGGTTATTGTCTGTTCTGCATATTTGTGGATCCCGTGAGTTTTCTTCAAGCACGTCTTCTGCCTCCATCTTTATTTGTGCCATGCATAGTGTGAACCAAGCAAGCTGCATCTGCCAGAGTGCGCTACAATATGTTAAATTTTTTAGTTAAAATCCATTTTTTTGAGTTTATGGAAGGACACAGAATTCAGAGACAACTGAGGTATACTTCTGCCTACAGAAGGATATGGGCACTGGCAAAAAAAAACAGTTACCAACCTGGTATCCCTCTTCCCACTCCCCAGCACACCTAGAAAAGCAGTAAGATCATTAACACAGTGTGTCTCGATGAACTTTCAAGAAATGGATTTTATGGTAAGAAAAAAAATCATATTTTCTTTATCTTTCACCAAGATACAACTGAGACATCTAAAAGCAATAAAGCAATCCAAATGAGGGGTGGGCAACAGTATAAGAAAACTTACGTGGTTCACACTACAAAACAATAGAGCTAGTGGCTGAAGGACCCTATGCCCAAAGCTGGCATCAGATGGGGCCTGAACATCCACCTGGCGGAACTTAGAGAATGTTGTGAACAGAGGACAATGTGGCAGCCTTGAAAATCTGGGAAAGTTGGTTGATACTGAAAAGGAAAGGTTTTGTAGTTCTACTCCAGCAGAAGCCGCTTGGTAGAATTGGTTCTCTATTTTTTTGTCTCGACTCTGAGAACAACCTCAGCCCCACTGACACAACAGGTTAAACAAATGAAAACTGCACTGATACTGGGAGCACAAATATAGATTCCCTGCACACAACTAAGGTTCGGTATCAAAAAGGAAACATCATCCTGGTTAATGGTAAATAAACCCAACATATTGTCACAGGTTGCAGTAAATAGCAGTATGTCCATAAACAAGTAAGTAAAGGATTAGGTCAATCACAGTCCACTAGACAATATGGGGTTGATTTACTAAAGCTGGAGAGTGCACAATCTGGTGCAGTTTTGCAGAGAAACCAATCATCTTCCAGGTGTTATTGCCAAAGCTTAATTGAACAAGCTGAAATTAGAAGCCATTTGGCTACAATGCAAAGCTGCACCAGATTCTGGGAGCACCAGTTTTAGTAAATCACCCCCTATGTTCACTAGGTTATAGCATAGAATGGGGTTCCATGCAGCTAAATCAGAGTAAACCTGGTAATCCATAAAATCAGCAATAAGTAATGGCATTAGAAAACAGTAACAGCAATCACAATCAATACTGCGATACCTCCTCTGTAAACAATAGGCTATATCCACTTTAGAGTGCACTCGATGTGAATGACAGTGATGAAATGTAAAACTCCTTAAAGAGGTACCTCTTACTATGGACAATAGGCAAAGTCCTTGTGAAGCAGCTCTCTGAGTGAGCAGTCTTTAGCCCCACTTCTTCAGCCAGCTAGCGTTGGGGCCCAGTTTTTATGGTGGTGCACATGAGTACAATCCCAGTAAAGTCTGCATGTAGTACGTAATTGTTAGAAGTTCTGTATACAGTATAGCCCTACAGAATAGACCGTGCATAGTCAATATATTCTTTTCTGCTTCACTGCAAACAAGGAAACAGGAAACCTTTATTCAGAGAAAAGACATAGGATATACATACCATAGATGCACCTAAAATCTGTAAAAACACTGCCATCTACTGGTTAAAGAATAAATATCTTCTTAATAATTATGTAGTTGTTGCACAAAATACATGAACAATGTATTCCAACAGTTATGCTGCTAATTAGAGGGCCAGTCCCTGTGTGCTCAGTCTGCTAGCAGCAACAGGTTAATGGCAGCAGTATCCTTTCACCAGCACCAGCGATACAGCAACAGGGGTCCCACTGTTCAGATGTCAGCTCACTTCTAGATCTGCCTGCAGTGAATCCGGCCCTCAGCATATGGCCACAGGATTGTAACAGGTTAATGTGCACACCTCCTTGCAGCAAAAAATCCCTCGATATTCAGCCTGTAAAAATATAGTTCTCTCTCTTTATACCTAGCTCGCATTGCGAATTGTAATCCAAGTCCAGTAACTGCCGTAGTAGTTTCTTTCCAGACCTACATCTCCCATAATTCAGTGTTGCCAATCATCAGGTTTCTTGAGCTCCTTCTGCTTGTCAACAACCCCTGATGGATAGAGGTGTAGTGCTGTTAACCCATTCAGCTGAAGTCCATTGGGAGACATTAGATAGAAGCACTGCAGCACAGTGTCCTAAATCACATTCTTTCTCTAGCCAAGCACCTGGCTACAGTTAGAACCCTATCCTTAAGATCATAAGCTTGAAAAGTGATTTGTCTAAGCCAGTGGTGGGCAACCTTTTTTTTCAACTGAGCCAAATCTCGCCAAAACCACGATTGAAATTTATTTTGAGAGCCACATTTTTAAAACTGAAAATACATCCCCATATAGTAATTCATCCCCATAGTAATTCATCCCCCATATAGTAATTCATCCCCCATAGTAATTCATCCCCCATATAGTAATTCATCCCCCATATAGTAATTCATCCCCCCCATAGTAATTCATCCCCCATATAGTAATTCATCCCCCATAGTAATTCATCCCCCATATAGTAATTCATCCCCCATATAGTAATTCATCCCCCATAGTAATTCATCCCCCCACATAGTAATTCATCCCCCATATAGTAATTCATCCCTCATAGTAATTCATCCCCCATATAGTAATTCATCCCCCATAGTAATTCATCCCCCCATATAGTAATTCATCCCCCATAGTAATTCATCCCCCATATAGTAATTCATCCCCCATAGTAATTCATCCCCCATATAGTAATTCATCCCCCATAGTAATTCATCCCCCATATAGTAATTCATCCCCCATAGTAATTAATCCCCCATATAGTAATTCATCCCCCCATATAGTAATTCATCCCCCATAGTAATTCATCCCCCATAGTAATTCATCCCCCATATAGTAATTCATCCCCCATAGTAATTCATCCCCATAGTAATTCATCCCCCATATAGTAATTCATCCCCCATAGTAATTCATCCCCCTTATAGTAACTCATCCCCCCTATAGTAATTCATCCCCCATATAGTAATTCATCCCCCATATAGTAATTCATCCCCCATAGTAATTCATCCCCCATATAGTAATTCATCCCCCCTATAGTAATTCATCCCCCATATAGTAATTCATCCCCCATAGTAATTAATCCCCCATATAGTAATTCATCCCCCATAGTAATTCATCCCCCATATAGTAATTCATCCCCCATAGTAATTCATCCCCCATATAGTAATTCATCCCCCCTATAGTAATTCACCCCCCCTATAGTAATTCATCCCCCATAGTAATTTCATCCCCCATAGTAATTCATCCCCCATATAGTAATTCATCCCCCATAGTAATTCATCCCCCATATAGTAATTCATCCCCCATATAGTAATTCATCCCCCCTATAGTAATTCATCCCCCATAGTAATTCATCCCCCATATAGTAATTCATCCCCCCTATAGTAATTCACCCCCCCATATAGTAATTCATCCCCCATATAGTAATTCATCCCCCATATAGTAATTCATCCCCCATAGTAATTCATCCCCCATATAGTAATTCATCCCCCATAGTAATTCATCCCCCATATAGTAATTCATCCCTCATATAGTAATTCATCCCCCATAGTAATTCATCCCCCCTATAGTAATTAATTCCCCATATTAATTCATCCCCCATATTAAGTCCCCAAGTCCCCCCGTGTCAATTCACTTACCTTTGCTCCGCGCGTTCTTCTCGCTGTGTTCCCGCGCCGTTCTGGTCTTCAGGGCGGACTGTGAGAGGAGTTCGTCACGCTGCCCCGCCTACATCCTGGCTGCCCCGCCTACATCCTGACAGCTGCAGAGTCCTGACTTTTGGGGTGGCCGCCCGAGAGGAGGGAGGGGAGCGGGCGCCCGGCACACAGAAGAGCCGCATTTAAGTTTGTAAAGAGCCGCATGTGGCTCGCGAGCCGCGGCTTGCCGACCACTGGTCTAAGCCACCAAGAAATGGTAGAACAAGAAGCATGCTCCCCTCAACAGAAGCCATCAAAAATGACAAAAACAGAGTGAGTCCTTCTGATGGAAGCAGTGAACGTAGGGTTGCCACCTCATCTCTTTAAAACTAAACACATATTAATAATGCAGGTTCTGGGACTATTTTAATGCAGATAAGGCACCAAGTGAGTTTAATTACCACCTTAATCAGCCACAGAACTTGTGTAATTAATATGTGTTTGGTTTTAAAGGGATGAGATGGCAACTCTAAGTGGACGCCAGTACTATATCCAGACAATAAAGGGAAATATCCTTCTGATGCATTGAAACTTAACAAAGAGACATAAAAAACAATGTACTGGCTGAGATAAAAAGTTGAAACCACCGTAGGAATGGAGGAGATTCTCAGAAATGGTTCTTAACAGAACAAGGCCACCAGCTAAGTCAGACATCTCACAGATATGCTACCAGCTGAGGTAATCTACACCTGGAATGTGAGTAGTTGTCAAGGCTGGATTGTAAGATCTGCCCAGGACAGAATTTCTCCCACTTCTCTTGCTGTAGAATGACATCTGGTTACTCCCTAATCGCTGATGTATGACACAGCCCTGGTATTGTCTGGTTGAATTCTGATCAGAATTAGGATGTCCAGCATTGTAGGAGCAACCAAATCGCCCAGATCTCTAGAATGTTGGTCAGGATTTAGGATACCGCCAGCATGCAAGTCATCTGCACTGACAAGGTGCTTAGGACTCCTTGGCCTGATAGGTTGATGTCCATTGCAATGATCTTCCAAGGATTGGATGGAGGGATTTTCCCAACTCCAGAGCTGGATTCCTAAGCCATCAGAGACTGAACCCACAATGTCAGAATTTTTAGTTGTAGGGGACTAGAGTGGAACTAAGCAGATGGCACTGCATTAAAGGAGGCTACCATCAGGCCTAAGACTCAGGTGGCTCAAGGACTGTAGCACATGCAGCAGCTACTACATTTGTCTGAGACAGACTAGTGTGGTAGCTGCTGGTGTGTGTTGTTTTTTTCAATATGTATTTTTGTGAATGACCAGCACTGCTTTCCAGCCAATGTCATTCACACAGCTGCCAGATACTACTAGAGGAATCTCCTCTCAACTAGCTAGCAGCAGCAAAAGATTTCAGGTTCAGTCTTTTAACAGTAGAAGAGAAGGCATGGCTACAGAATGGAGAAGGGGTTGCTCTGCTCTCGTTTCCTGCAGGAAAAAGGTGCATGCACCTCTTTAAAAACACGACCAGAGGGAAAACCGTACGGTCTTGTTGACTATGTGGTTTTCCTGCACCCTATGAATGGCAGCCACATGCATTGTAAAAGATCAGGTTCAGCGAGCGCTTAAAATTGAAAAAGCGGCTAGAACACTACAAAGGGAAACCATAAAACCTTCTATAAAACCAAATAAAACACGTAGTGCAGTGCTAAAATATACGTGATCTTAATTATAATAATTATACCATACAATATAAATCACTATATAAAGAATTATTAAGACATGTGGATATAGATAACGTCCGTGTGACCATATATCAGAAAGAATGGTAAATGTCCTCACAATGGTGTAAATTATTCCAATATTAAATTCAACAGGTGTATCGATAGGTGACTTCTCTTAATCCCAGTCATAACTGTAGTCCGGTGACGTTCGGGAAGAAATGATAAGATTGCGCACTCACCAGAGGCGCTATATAAATGCGCATTTAAGTCAGATAAGCCCGAGGTCCCCTCTGTTCTGGGAAAGGTGCAGCCTGGAATGGACAACCTCTTCTATAACTTCTAGAGGTCCCCTTTAGGTCTGCGGTGAGGGTCTGCAACAGGTGTCTCCCCTCTAGGCCCTGGGATGGTCACCTTGTGTTCCTGGGGGATTAAGTGCTGCTGGTTTTAAAGATGGCCACCGGACCTCCGTGATCCGGCGGCGTGACGTCTCAGCGTGCGGGGGGCTCCTCCTTAATGCATTTCATAACAAACGTACATTTTCAAAAGGGGTGTGCGCCATGATGGCGCACACCCCCCTTTTGAAAATGTACCATCAGGACTAAGACTCAGGTGGCTCAAAGACTGTAGCACATGCAGCAGCTACTACATCTGTCTGAGCCATCATGGCGCACACCCCTTTTGAAAATGTAATTTTGGTACGAAATGCATTGAGGAGGAGCCCCGCACACCAAGACGTCACGCCGCTGGAACAGAGAGGTACGGCGGCCATCTTTATAACCAGCTGCACTTAAACCCCCAGGAACCCAAGGTGACCATCCCAGGGCCTAGAGGAGAGACACCTGTTGCAGACCCTCACCACAGACCTAAAGGGGACATCTAGAAGTTATAGAAGAGCCTGTCCATTCCAGGCTGCACCTTTCCCAGAACAGAGGGGACCTCGGGCTTATCTGCTTAAATGCGCATTTATATTGCGCCTCTGGTGAGTGTGAAATCTTATCATTTCTTCCGCACGTCACCGGACTACAGCCACATGCATCTTTCAAGAGCAGTGCAATTTGACTGTGGGTATTTTGCAGGTGCAGAACAAGTGATTCACACAAAGAGCTGTTTCAGAAAGAGCAACTGCTGGCACTTATCCTTCAAAAAACAACACACAGTCACTTGGAACTTGGGCTCAGGTTTATTCTCATAGTATCTCTACAGGATAGCTAAACTCTCCCAGTTTCCTCCAAACATCTTTATGTCTCAGGACAACTGCCTGGTTCTTAGCTTCCACCAGACACTTTTCAGTGAAGGAGGGATTAATACAATGTGTCAGGGATCACCGCGACGCACGAGTCTGCACATGCGTAGGTGTCCGACAAGACATGCAGACAGGCGGGCACTAGGACCCAGGCGCGCCTGTCAGCGCCGGGTGGGCTATTTAAACCAGCCCTGCACAGACACAAGTTGCCATATGGTCTTATTGTCCTGTTCCTGTATTCTGATCCTGTGAAGCTTCCTGTTGCCGACCTCTGCATTGATCCTGACCCTGCTGATTGTCTCCTGCTTGACCCCTGGCTTGACCTGACCATTCTTCTGCCTGATCCTCTGTACCACGCTGCGCGTTAGTTGCTGAACCCAGCTCGTGACCCTGACCATTCTTCTGCCTGCTCCTCCGGTACCTCGCTGCCTGCACATTGCTGACCTGGCCTGCCTGACTACTCCTTACGTTACCCTGACGATCCATTCATCCCACACGGATCTGTCCCTGTTACCAGGCCTGCCAGCCTCTTCACGTCAGGCTCTATTTCCCGCACACCCCTGACGGTGCTCTCTACCACTGCCGGATGTACTCGGGGTCACAACCTGGTCTCAGGCTGCTCCAAGTCCATCCCCACCATCAGGGGCCCTGGTGAATAAGCAGATTGGGACTTAGACCCCGTGCCCTGAGGAACCCCGCACTGTGGGTTGCTAGAGACTCCACCAGGTGGTGCTTGACACAATGCAAAGAACAGCTACATACTTTCCAGCTTCCACCTGGTACTCTAAGTGAATCCTCCAGGCCAGATCCTTAAATTGCTTGATTAGCTCCCTAGTTGATTAGGAATAGCCCCCTCCCCCAGCCCTGCCACTGTTGGAACCTTGATTAACTGCAGAAACTTCAGCAAGTTGCCTCAAAAGGGCAAGAGCCTCTGAGGCTGGAGACTTCTCTAGCAGGACAAGAACAGGGCTGCTCCAGACCCCAAACTATTTAAGCTCCCTCCCAGCCACATACTTGGCACACCTCCCCAGGGATTGATCGCAGCACAGAAAACATTCAAGCTGCCCATCTGACCCTTCCAGCCCTCTATATTCTGGAAGCTTCCAGAATACAGGGGGAAGCAATTAAACTTGCAGCCTGTGAGACCTAGAACAGCTCAAAGAAATCAATGGCTGCTCCAATGATTATGAAGTGCCAAAAAACCCAAAATATACCTATGATCCTAGCAACCTATCTAGTAGGGTGCTGCCACAACATTCCCCAATAAACTTTGCTAAAATTCTTACTGCCACATTTGCAGTTTCCAGCTTTCAATGATGCCGGCTCCTATCTCTCAGTGCTGCTTCCCTTAACTTCTAGTCTTTACAGAGAACAGGGCAGACTCCAGCCAGATTGTTAGTTTGGAGAAGATGGGGGGGGGATTGTGTGTTTCTATTGATGCACACAATGTAAGGAAAAACAACTCCAGTCTCTTCATGCAAAGGTGGCTTCACAGAATGTTGCAAGAGAAATGAGCCACCCTGAAACAGGGAACCTGGGGCAGTGATCATGGCACTAGCTTACTGAAATATATGAAAGGATTAAAGGATAAAGAACTGTATATTCTATAAGTGATTAAATCAGCTGCTTAAAGTGCTTACAAACTGAGTGTTGAATATTACTCTAATGAAGTAATGGGAGCAAAGTAAGGCTTTACCCAGTACTAGTATAGTGTTCCTATAAAATTGCTCAGTATATGTAAGTCGGCCATGTTGGGGGACATGCAAATTCAATCCACTTTGGGTACCTGAAAAATGAGCTGTGCTGCTTATGGTTGTTGATCTCTTTCTCTATGTTTCCTTTAGCTAAATTTTGAAAATTGGGATAATGGAGAACCCAATAACCATGCAGGCGTGGAACTGTGTGGAGAGCTGAGAATTAATTACAGACTGCTGTGGAATGACCTGCACTGCGAAAATGCAAGAGATTGGATCTGTGAGCTAAAAAAAGGTAAAACCCTGACGGTATGTGGAGCCAGTTTTATACTGTCTGCAGTTTAGGTGTTAAAGGGATATCATTACACTGGTAACATTTGCCTTTAAAGTAATGAAAATATAATATCTTTGCTTTCATTGGCTTTCCTCTGTTTCCACATTCACTTTCCTATCCAGTCAACCATTTACAGTATTACAAAGTACCCAGGTGGTGGTGGGGAATGTGTTGGGAATCAATGGGGAGTGGGGATCAGGGTTTGCCAGCTGGAGTCTGTTGCAGACAACTAAGTGGCACCCAGACCAGCCAACAATGCTACTCTGGGTTTCTCAATTCTGCAGAGCAAATGATTTTACAGCAAAGTTACAAATTTTCTGTCAGCTAAATTTAGCCAAAACAGAAACTCTCAACTTTACTTGCTGAGCTGTTTTTAGACAAAATTTGCTTGTGAAAAAAAAAAATCTACTCTTTTCTTTATTCAGAGTCTGTGTTTCTTTGGGTGTATATTTAAGGCAGTTTACGTTATTTATTCTAGTGTTCCTTGTCTTTTATTTTCTATTTTGGGGGTATTTGTCTACTGTTGCTTTACATTTTTTTTTTATTTTACTTTTTTTTCTGTCTGTACAAAAGATAAAATAATGAGGCTTATGATGGGCAAAAATTAGTCCGTAAAAATTGAAGGAGTTTCTGTAAGCCTCAGGGGACTTTAAAAGTCAATTGCACCCTTAAAACTACTAAAACAACATGCATTTTTACTAAAATGTGGAACTCTCAAAAAAATATAGTTCATTTCCCAACAAGGGTAAAACCATCATTAAAAAAAAAACCTTCCATAGCACCATCCCACTTTTAAAATCCGTGATTCCGCTTCAACTTCACAGTCCCATCCAATGGGGCTAGAACAGGTAAATAAGGACTTTAAATGTGCTTTAGAAGGAACATATATTGACAAGTACAAAAAGTATACAAAACATAATTCAATTACAGCACTTTAAAAACAAAATGCTTATTACAAGTACAAGTTATTTCTTATTGGCCATAACAATGTGGTAAATTGAACTGAAGAATGCAATTCCAAAGAGACGTGATGGCTTGACATGTTTTGCGAGATTATCACTTCCTCAGGATGTAAACCTTCAGTTAAGTGTATCATCTAGCTGTACAATAAAACAGTAAGATATATGAAATATAATACCAACATATCCAGAAATATAAAATTCATTTAAAAAAACCTAACAAACAAAATATATATACTTGTCAATATATGTTTCTTCTAAAGCACATTTAAAGTCCCTATTTACCTCCTCTTGCCCCATTGAATGGGGCTCTGAGGAAGGAGTGGAATCGTCTCTAAAAATCTCCCCATTTTTGGTGAAATTTTGGGAAAGGGTTCTTTCACATTGGATGCAGAGACCAATAGTCTGTGAATGGGCCATGTGTTTATATGGCTTGAGCTGCTAGGTCAGGAGTGTTAAACTCAATTTCATCGTGGGCCACATCAGCATTATGGTTACCCTTAAAGGGCCGGTTGTATCTGTAAGACTAGATGTCCACAACACCCCATCCCAACTTACATCAGATGTCAAGAGCCCCCTACCTTTCCTTATATCACAGTGCACCCCCTTACTTTTTTGCTGCTTCCGGTAAGAAGCTGGTGGAGAAGAGGGGGTGCTCTGGCTGCACAGAGGCACAGGATCTGTAGGACGATTTCTGTCCTCCTCTGTGTTGCCAATTGTTCTATAGGAGCCTCTTTGTGGCTGCACAGAGAAGTTCAGGATCTGGTAGATTGGCTGCCACTCTGCAGCCAATTGTTGAGACAAGGTGGAAAATGAGACAACGGGGAAGCCACAGCTGCAGGAGAGGTGTGAGGGCCATATGAAATGGTCTGGAGGGCCAGATTCGGCCTGTGGACCTTGTGTTTGACACATGTGCAGACAGTCCATGTAAGTGTATGCAGATGCAGCAGCTGCACGGACACAGCCACCCATCCCAATCTGAGAGTCAAGTGAGTGTGACTGAGCGGCCCCAAATGCACATTCTCTGCATTCAGGGCCTCTCACGTACACGCCTGATGACACTTTATGATAAGTGTCTGTGTCCGTGTAGCTGCTGCATCCCCATACACTTGATACATGAGTTGCTTTCACAGACTTTTGGTCTCAGTGCCTGTGCAAATGAGGCCTAAATGAAAACTCATCATTTTGCTTATCCATATTCCTGGCTAAAACTAAACTGAAAAGCAGTATTACAAATGTCAAAGTGCAGGACACCATAAATTGCAATCAAAACCAGTGCTGGCTTCCTTTCTACTTTTGAACTATGAATTCTTGTGCCCTCATTAGCCTGAATATTTTACAAGTCATTAACAGAAAGAATTAAACACAGAAATAAAGAAAATGTTTAATAAAAAATGCAAGGCGAAAGTATGCAAAAAACATTCAAATACACAACAAAATGGAAGAATCAAAAATACAACGAACAAAGATAAATATAAAACACACATAAATCAAAAAGGAAAGTGAAGATTTTTTTTCTGTTAAGGCTAGGGCATTAAAAAATAGTAAGATATTTAGAATTTTCCTTTTTTACCCTTACTTACTTTTTATAGCTTCGGGGGAAACCACAAACTATATCGAAGAGAATCTGTCACTTTGCTCTTTCAGGTTCTTTTGAATTCCATGACCCACCTATACTCATCTTTGCTAAGCTTCCCCACCACCCTGTTCCTCCATCAAAATCCTAGGAAATACTCAGTAGACATTGGTGTTTTGTTTATTTACGAATCAAAATTTGGACAAAATGTTTGGTATTTGGAGATTTGGATGTATCCGAATTTCCAAATTGCAACAGTAGCAAATTTTGATGAATCCTAAATAAATTATAATGAAACAAATTATCCAAATTTGAATTTGAAAATGAATTTGAATTCGAAATGGAAACATATTGCAAAAAATACAGTAAGGTATAAAAGTGAAATAAGATGATGACTGCTACTTGAGCTGCTTTATAGAATTGAAAAGAATAGAATAAAAGAGAATGGAATACAATAGAATAGAAAAGTAAATAATAGAGTAGGATAGAATAGAAAATCATAGAATAGAAAAAAATAGAATAGAACAGAATAGGAAAATATATCCTTTTTTGAAATTCAAATTTAGAATCAATTTGAAAATAATGAATATATGAAACAAATCTGAACATATGAAACAAATTCTGAAAACAAATCATTCTAACATAATGAATATGATGAAACAAAATTATTAACTTAATGAACGAATACGAAACAAAGCAAATTTTTCCATTGTGCAAATCTCTAATACTGGGGAGCTTGTGATCATTTTGAGGAGCATGTGACCTTATGCCTAGGCTACAGTAGCCAGTCACCAGGCTCTAACACATGGAGGGGGGATGGGGTTAGAAGATGCAATAGTATCACACCAATGGGTTTACAGTCCAAAACTATTTGTTTCATCATAAACATCCAGGGTTAAAAAAAAAGCCATTGCATTTCAGGGGTTTATATAGTATCCCTTTTCATCAGGGCCTAAAATGCTGTTTGGAATAAAAAAAATGGCAGACTTAGAAGAGTTCATAAGTTTCAGGCCTCAGCAGCAAGTTGGAAACATGGAGAGATGCCATTACCCCAGTATGATATCTGCCACTGTCTGAGACAGAGCTAACATGGGATTTAGACTCAGGATTGTGGCATAGGCATGCAATGGCCAGGGATCGCAGTGGATGATAGTATCAACATGTAGCCAAGTGGGCTTTCAAAAGAACCTTTTACTTTTTCCTTGAATGAGCAAAGTGTCAGATTCTCTTTAATGTGCTTCAATTTATTTTGGAATTTAGGGGAAAAAATTAGCCCTTTTCTTGAATACATTGATTTTACCCTGCTTGCTTTCTCTCATCATCACAATCATTATCATCATCATCAGGTGCAGAACTGAAACCAGAACCCACCAGTCCACCATATCCTGGTAAGAACTTTTTTGTATCTATAGGGGCACACAGCATAACCTTGTTGTAAGAGTTGTTAAGAACTTACTTTTATAATATCCACTTGCCTCTAGGGCAATGGTTCACAACCTGTGGGTCGCAACGCCTTTGGGGGTCGAACGACCCTTTCACAGGGGTCCCCTAAGACCATCAGAAAACACATATTTCCGATGTGTAAAGAGCAGCTGCTGTGTTGAAAGCAGCTACTCTGTTAAAAGCAGCTACTGTGTTGAAAGCAGCAGTATTGGAGGTAAAACGACACTCATGAATTATAATTACTGGGTAAATAATTTTATGGTTGGGGGTCACCACAACATGAGGAACTGTATTAAAGGGTCGCGGCATTAGGAAGGTTGAGAACCACTGCTCTAGGGTTATGTTCAGAAGGGCAGTGGATTTCGAAGAGCTTCTAGTTGTTGGAGAGTGTAGGGATTTATTAGATGTCCTCTCTAATTTTATTGTTGTCTTTGTCCCAGCTAGCTAGATAGGCCCCCTCTATTTGTCCTAGTGCCCTTCATCGCCAAGAGAAAGAGTAATGGGAAATCCCAAATTTTACTGCTGTCACTAACACAAGAAGTAATGGGAAAATCTTCCAACAGGAACGTCCATGTAAGAGTGGAATTCCCCTGACTTTGTGTAGAGATTTCCTCTCACTTAGGGGTCTATATATAGTGGACTAACTGTGTGATTTGCACAGCAAATGTTTTCTGAACATTTGTTTGTCTGTATTTTACAGCATTTAGCTGTCATTTTAAAGGGGGGTCACCCTATTTGCCTACCATCTTCAAAGATGAATTGCCCTATTTTTGTAATTTTCAAAGAGGATTCACCCTATTTGTTGATCATTTTGAAAAAGTATTAACCCTAGGCACATATCCTTTTCAAGGAGGATTGGCCATATTATACAGGATTTATTATTCACCTATCATCTTTAACCGCTTAGTGAATGAAGGTAAAACAAATGTTAATGCCTAAACACAATTTTGCAACTTTGACATGCATTAGTAAAACTGTACATATTATCACAACTACTTTGTGTATCCAGGTGGAATATACCTTGCTTTTTTCTTTTGGTGGCAAATAGCAATGGATATCTCTTGATTTTTCTTCATTATCAAAGTAAAACTGGCCCAAAATAGTTAACCCCCCCCCCCCCATTAAATTTAGCTGTATATTATTTGCTATTACCATAATTTACCACCAAAGAACAATCCTAAATAAATTCTCCTGTGCCTGACGATCGCGTGTGTGTGTTAGTTGTTGCTCGTACCTGTAGTACGGCCCAGAAGCAATAGTGAGCATTTTGCTTTTTTTTATCCAGCATAAGTCTGCATTCAGGAGCAGGAGCTTCTTTTGGATGACCATCTTTGCACGTTGCAGTTTGTCGCGATTGCAGTGTGGTTTATCAAGCAACAATCACAGCAGAACTGCACCGCATTTTTAGGTGCCATTCAAATGAATGGCATCTAAAATCCGAGTTGTGTGTTTTGCCATTTTAGTAGAGCATTTTGAAATCGTGGGCAGAATAATGGCAATTCTGCCCTCAATTCAAAATGCCTAGGTGTGAATGCAGGCAACCTCGTTCACACTTGAGTGTTTTTCAGCTCAAAGCTTGATGCTCAGAAACGCTCAACAAGTAAGATCCCATTATTTACTTGAGCATTCTGTCGCCTGTAGCAAAACGCCTGTTGCTCAGAAAAGTATTTGCGCTACTTTTCAGGCAGATCTGAGCATTTTGTCCCCACAGACTTGAATAGAAAACATCTGAACAGTGGGAATGACCATTTTTCAAGTGTTTCTTTTTAAGTGTTTTTTTTCAGGTGTTTTCAGCTCAAACAGCAGCTATTTCTATTGGCCACAACAAAAAAGCCTAAATGAAAAACGCTTATAATATATGCAACACTGCTCAAGAATGCTTGAAAACAAGTCTGAAAAATGCTCAGCTCAGTGTGAATGTAGAAAAACACACTGACACTAACCAATGCTGATGCTAATTTAAAAAATGTTTAAAAAAAAAAAAAAAAAACTCTACCCAAAATATACTGACTGTGACCTTTGACCCCAGAGGTATGGTTAAAAGTTGAAGGACATGTCTGCAGGAGCCTGACATTGCACCCCTGATGTACTGAACATGGTGCAATGATTTGCAGGTTCCTGCAGGAAAAAATAATACAGGTACATTTTTTCCAGCAAACACATGTGCATTTGTTAGTTTTTCTGTAAAGGTGAACTTATCCTTGAGGGCTAATGCACACAAGATGCATAGCTCCCAACTGTCCCTGATTTCGAGGGACTGTCCCTTATTTATAACAAAGTCCCTCTGTCTTCCTCATTTGTCCCTCATTTTGGTCATATAGTTTATTATTATTATACAGTATTTATAAAGCGCCAATAGTTCATCTCAGCGCTGTACATTACAAAGGGGGACAGAACATGTGACAAACCAATACCAATACAATGTGATACATGAGGGGATCGAGGGCCCTGCTCTTTTGAGCTTACAATCTAGATATATAGTTGTATATGAATGGCACTATCTATCTTTCAATGGTGTTTTATAGTGTTAAACCATTCATTCAATTTCTAACTTGTATTTGAACATTTCAAAAGACAATATCATGGAATGGAAGTAGTAAAAAAAACACTTGTTGGATTAACCAATCATTTTTTGTGTCTTAATTTCCCTTATAAGGGGGCGTGGCAGGGGGTGTGTCCTATAAATACATACTTTTGCTTATAGGTGTCCCTCATTCCCCATCTCAGAAAGTTGAGGAGTATGCAGATGCAGTCTAGTGCATTTTTTTCTGCATCAAAATGCACAGACATTAGGTTATATGGGTTCCAATGGCATAATTCATACCAGTGCAGTCAGTTCCAGTGCATTCCAGTAAAAAAGGAGAACTTGCTGCATTTTTTGCACTGCACTGTACTGGAAAGTGGCAAAAATGCATGAAAAACACACCAGAACGTACCTAAAAGCATCAAAATGCTCTGGTACCCTATTTAAGATGAAGAAAAAAGAAGGGAAAAAACACAGTGGAATGCATCAAAAACATGTCAAAAACTAACCAAAATGCATCACAAAAAGTGAATGCAGAAATGCACCCGGAATGCATCTGGATGTGAAAAAACTGAGTTTGCTTTTATCTGTAGAACTGGTTTGTTTTGGAAAAACAGCCATTGTCTAATATAAACCGATAGCATATCCTCCATATTTCAGATTGAGTATGGCAGATACTTCAGGAGCCCGTACAGACCTATCAGAATGGGCAATAAATATCATTCATGAAGTTATCATTCTTGAACTCCAGGCAGATATAAAAGACACAAATGAATGCAGCTTTGTAATCATTAATACGTTATGAAATGTATTTTTTAAATACAAGCAGTGTAGGTACCTGAATGTGACCTGCTACAGCTTCTGGCAGTCTCTGTACAGCAGGGCTGGAGGGTGAGAGGAAGAAGCAGTACAAGGAGCCAATCAATTCATGTAATGGCAAGAACCATGTTGATCGGAGGTGAGAGCAGAGTGACAGAGAGAGAAGATCATTACTGCAGTGCTTCTACTTTCACTGTCCAGTAACAGGCCTGGGTGGGTTCAGAATGACCTGGGCTCAGGGCAAATGGGTTGAATGAAGCTGGCCATCACACTAAGGACATCAGCAGGAGAAAAAAAAGCACTTTGGGAAAATCTCTGAATTAAAGCTGAATATTGCAGCAAAGGCTGATTTTTACTTTATCTTTTAATTGGGTATTCATTTTTGTAATATTTCTTTCATTATTTTACCTCTGTGTTTCATTGGCATTTTTTTTTCAAGTAGACTTGTTTTCTTCCCTATCTGACAGAGTTTAACCTGACCACTGATGGTTGGTTGGTCAAAGGTGACAAGCAGTATTATGTGGGCAATGATCAGATGCCCATGGATAAGGCACGAGAGTTTTGCAAGCGTAATTTTGGTGACTTAGCCTCAATTCATGATAGAGAAGAAGGGACATTTCTGTTGCGATTTGTAAGTACTTTTCTGTATGAAGTATTTGAACAATTGAATAGTTGTAGTAGTCCCACTGCTAAGATGGCTCCTGGACACTGATAGCATCCCTTTACTTACCTTCTTCTCACTCCCACAGCTCCACTGGCTGTTGGGCATGTATGCTCTATGGTAATTCCCTTCAGGGTAGGCCTCAATACCTACAACCCAACATCCATGAAAAAAAGGGAAAAAAACATATAAAGTGCAGTGATAAAAGACAAAAGGTGAAAAGTTAAAACAAAAAAAAATAAAAAGTGTCAATGTGTGCAAAATGGATAGGCCTTGTGGCCCTGGTAACAAAAATTGCTTTGGTCTTAGCCAAAAGGCCTAGCCTATGAAATTAAGTACAGAAAAAAAATCTGAACCCGTCCATTGGCCATCCCAATGAGTCCTTCAGTGCACCCACTTTTATTTTAACATTCTTACAACTTAATATATGAAAATGAAAAGTTATTACAAGTCATCAGCCCCATATATTCAGCAAAGAGATGGCCCAATTCAATAAAGAGACAGCCCCATATATTCAGCAAAGAGACAGTCCAATCCAGCAAAGATACAACCCCATATAATCAGCGAAGAGACATCCCAATCCAGCAAAGAGACATCCTCTATATTCAGCAAAGAGACACCCCAATTCAGCAAAGAGGCATCCCCATATATTCAGCAAAGAAATGGCCCAATGCAGTAAAGAGACAGCCCCATATATTCAGCAGAGAGACATCCCAATCCAGCAAAGAGACATCCCCATATATTCAGGAAAGTACATCCTAATTCAGCAAAGAGACATCCCAATCCAGTAAAGAAACAGCCCAATTCAGCAAAGAGACAATCAAAGCACAGGCCCACATCCTGCAACATTGTCAATCAAAGTACAAAATCCAATGTCTAACAAGGAGTCATCCACAGTGAGCAGTCAGTCAGAAGGCTACATGCAGCGCAGCTCTCATCAGAGACCGCAGAAATACTACAAGAGACGATCAGAGACTGCAGACATACTACAAGAGATGGTTAGAGCTGCGAAATAATACAGGAGATGACCAAAAAGCAGGAATACTACAGGAGATTAGAGACTGCAGCACATACTACAGGAGATGATCAGAGACCAGACATACTATAGGACATGTTTAGAGACTGCAGACATACTAAGATGGTCAGTGATTGCAGACATACACAAGAGATGGTCAGAGACTGCAGAAATACTAAAGGAGATGGTTATAGACTACAAATGTACTACGGGAGAGGATCAAAGACTGCAGAAATATTACAGAAGTGGTCAAAGACTGCAGACATACTACGGAGAGATGCAGAGACTGCAAACGTACTACAGGAGATGGTCAAAGAAACTACAGGAGATGGTCAGAGAGTGCAAAAATACTGCAGGAGATGGTCAAAGACTGCAGACATAGTACAGGAGATGGTCAGAGACTGCAGGCATACTACAGAAGATGAACAGAGACTGTGGAAATACTACAGGAGATGATAAGAAACTCTGGAAATACACAGAGACTGCAGAGACTGCAGACATACTAGATGGTCAGAGACTGTGGAAATAATACAGGAGATGGTCAGAGACTCTAGACATCCCATAGGAGATGGTCAGAGAGAATGCAGAAATATTACAGGAGATAGTCAGAGAATGCAGACATACTACAGGAGATGGTCAGAGAGTGCAAACGTACTACAGGAGATGGCCAGAGACTGCAGACATCCTACATGAGATGGTCAGATAGACTGCAGAAATATTACTGGACATAGTCAGAGATTGCAGAAAGCCTAGAGGAGATGGTCAGAGAGACTGCAGAAATATTACAGGACATGGACAGAGACTGCAGACATAGTACAGGAGATGGCCAGAGACTGCAGACATACTACAGTAGATGGTCAGAAACTGCAAACATACTACATGAGATGGTCAGAGATGCAGCAGACAAGTACAGGAGATGGTCAGAGACTGCAGACAGCCTACAGCCTACAAGAGACTGAAGAAATACTACAGGAGATGGTCAGAAACTGCAGACATAGTACAGGAGATGATCATAGACTGTAGACATACTACAATATGGTCAGAGATTGCAGATCTAATACAGGAGATGGTCAAACTGCAACTTACTACAGAGTACAAAGTCTGCAGACATGGTGCAGGTATGTTCAAAGACTGCAAACCCTATCACGTCTCTGTGAAGGGGGTGATGTTGCAGTCACTGTACACAGCTCTAGGACTTGTCCTCCCTTCCTCTAGAATATGGACGACCCCCCCCCCTTGCACACACAACCATTACCCAGTCAGAGGAGTCCCCTAGAAGGAGCCTGGACTTGACCCTAGGACAACATGAACATGGTTGTCCCAGGTTTCAGAATGTGAACAGCGGTATCCTTTCACAGCAAGGCTGCCTCACATCTTACTTTGCAGAAATGACTCCATAGACTCTTGTACACTGTGCGGGCCATGGTTCAGGAAGAAAGCAGGCTATTTCTTCACTTTTGGGTGCAGGTTTAGTAATTTCCATACAATTTCCAGATACATTACAGTCTCAACCTCTTCTATACCAATCTGCCAGGCAGGCCAGGACTGTAATGTACTTGTCTGGAAATGTGGTACGGGGAGAATACTACACCTGCACCCAAAAGTGAAGAAACAGTCCACTTGATCTGGGCTATGAGGAATTGAAAAGCAGTAGGAGCACTTTAGCCTGCACAGCAGCCAAAGCAGCATGGGGTGGGGGTTCCTACCATGGTTGGAACCTGGGTGGCCGGGCCCCTCAGGACACCTGGGCCCCCTACATGTGTATGGGCTGTCTCCCCCTGATGGCAGCCCTGCCCCTATGATACCAGCATAGATACTATACAGCCAAAAGGCCAGAATGACAGCAGAGCACCCCTACTAGACACTGTTAAGAACAGATACTACACTTAATCTTAGTCCAAAAGCAGAGAAGAGAAAAGCTTGCTAGATTGCACCTGGACCAGCAAAGAGGCAGCATGGCCACCAAACACCAAGCTGGCCACTCAGCAGGATCCATATACTTCACTGGGAGTAATAGGTCCTTTCAAGGGCAATGATGTCACATAGTGGCATGTGTGATTACTACTGCCCTAGTAATGAAGATCGTCTTTTCAAAGAGCACCTTTCATTTTTGGGAGGAGGCCCAGCACCTTCTTACCTGTTGTGAACTGTCTTATGCCCCTTTAGAGCATTTTTCACTAAGACACTGCTGACACAAATATTTGCCCAGTGAAGGGAATAATGGTTGGAGCATTATGGATCATCCAACCATCAGACCAATCATCCAACCATTAGAAGCTCTCATTGTTACCCCTAGAGAGCCCCTTCATGGCCTTAGTCTCTGATTAGTCTCATTCAGCAATTTAATATTTGATTTTCTATCATTTGCTCATCATAATTAAACAGTGCATTTCATGAGCCAGCTAGTCATTTCATCAGAACTGTACTATGTATGTTAAATAAATAAAGAATAAAATAAAGAATTAAAGAATGGAATAAAGAAATAAAGAATGGAAAAAAGTACTTTCCATGTGTTTGGAATCCTATCCGCCAGTATCCCTATATTGTGTCATTTTGGCATATTATCAGTAATTGTGTTTCTTGCGTACTTATCTACATTGTTCTCTTTCCTCTTTAGATTTTAAAGAACAGGACAAGTGATTCATATTACATTGGCTTGTATTTATCCATGGATAAACAATTTAAGTAAGTGCCCTCAACCTAAACCAATTTTTGTTTCATGGAGATATGCTATGTTTGTTTTTATTGGTGTATCCAGACTGGCATTTCAATGGCTTTATGAGACATTCACAGGAGAAATGAGAAATACAGGAGCTTCCCTGCAGGAGATAATGAGATCTTTCCATGTTTGGATGAGCTCCATGTTTGCATTTAGAGACTTTACATTTCAAAAGTGCTAATCCCTTTCTCACTGAGAGGGGAGCAGTATAAGTCCACCAACCCTCTGCAAACCAGGAAAGTTAGGAAACGCATTTAGGCCTCATGCACAGTGGATGCTTTACAGCTGCTGTTTTTGAGGACAGGTGTTTTTCCCCAGCATGTTATCCTATGTGTCCATGCACACATAGAGGTTGATTTACTAAAGGCAAATAGGCTGTGCACTGCAAGTGAACTCTAAGGCTCCATGTACACTGCAGCTGATCAACTCACGTTTAGGAGCTTTTCTGCATTTTTTCAGCAGCCCCTGAACTCTCTCTAATGTTTTCCTATGTGTCCATGTACCATCGTTGTTTACAGTCATTTACAGGCAGTTGAGTTTACAGTTTTTTTTTTTAACGCATCAAACTTGCGTTCAGGAGTAGATTTTATCAGTGTTTCAAACACCAAATGCTTGTTTGCGTTTGGATTTGGAATTTTTTAGAACTGTTCCATATCCAGATGCTGTCCAGAGCCTTTTTTCATCATGAAAAATGCATGCAAAGCATTTTTCCGGTACTCAAATGGACCTGGTACACCATACTTTGAGGTTTCGCATGAAAGAAAATATGTTAGACACTGCTGCAATAATTTCTGCGCAGAAATGAGTGGAACACATCCAAACACCACAAAAAAAAAAAAAAATAAAGACAGCTAATCCCAACAAATACTGCTCTCTCTGCTTCTGCTCTCTCTCTTTCTCTCAAAATGTCTGAAATAGTTAATCTTTTACTGTTTTTTCAGTGCATTCTGGGCATTTTGGAAGGTCTCCTGAGGCTATCTTTAAAAAACGCTTCTAAACGCAAACGCTCATAAACGTGCATAAATGCAGTATGCAAACGCGGCTAAACAGATGTTTTTTAACCTACGTTTTCCAGCAGTCAGTTTCCATTGTTCAGAAGTGTTCCGTGTACATGAAGCCTAAATGTATTTGGAAGTGCTCTGCAAGGGCACTGAAAGTGCTGTTGCTCTAAATCTTAGGGGGTACATGCAAGGAAAATTTAAAAAAAACAGCATTTTTGTTTGCACATGATTGGATGAAAGAAATCAGCAGAGCTGTGCCTCATTTCAGAGCTTCCCCTCAGATCTAAAGCAACTGCACTTGAAGTGCACTAGCAGGTGCACTTGCAGTGCATTTACAGTGCACAGCCTATTTACCTTTAGTGAATCAAAGCCATGGGCTTTTATCAGCGTTTTTTTTGGCAGGAGCGTTTTGAGGCTGGAAAAAACCCTCCCCCCCCCCCCCCCCCCCCCCGAACTACTGCATTTGAAAAGGAGTTTTTCCAGCTGTAAAAATGCTCTAACGCTGAAAAATGCTGAAAAAACATGGTTATCCAGTGTTTAAGAGTTTTTGAGGACTCAAGCTTTTCTTTAACCACTTGCCTATCGGGCACTTTTACCCCCTTCCTGCTCAGGCCAATTTTCACCTTTCAGCACTATTACACTTTGAATGACAATTGCGCGGTCATGCAAAACTGTACCCATATGAAATTTTTATAGTTTTTTCACACAAATAGAGCTTTCTTTTGGTGGTATTTAATCACCACTGGGTTTTTATTTTTTGCTACACTAATGAAAAAAAACAGACATTTTGAAATTAAAAAAAAAAAAAAAATGTTTATCTTAGTTTCTATTATAACATTTTGCAAACAGGTAATTTTTCTCCTTCACTGATGTGCGCTGATGAGGCTGCACTGATGGGCACTGATGGGCTGCACTGATGAGCACTGATGGGCTGCACTGATAGGCAGTACTGATGGGCACTGATATGCTACACTGATGAGCACTGATGGGCTGCACTGATAGGCAGAACTGATGGGCACTGATAGGCTGCACTGATGAACTACACAATGACTATTCAGAGATGCATTGTGGGCAAGTGAAAGTTAAAAATAGCAGAGAGGTGTTTTATTGCTAAAAAAACGCTTAAAAACGCTAAAGAGGCAAACACTACAAAACGCTAAAAACCGCTTATGAAAAAAAGCTGCAAAACGCTACAAAACTTGCGTTTTTAACTTGGCAACGCTGCTGGCGTATTTATAATGTCCAGTGTGCATGAGACCCTAAAAGAAAGCGGTTATGTGTTATGGTTAAGTACGTATTGAGTTTTATTGTAACATTTATCTAAAAGAAATTTCTTTGTAACTTTTTATAGGTTTGCTGCGCTATATTTTTAACATAGTTTGTAGATGTTTCATCCAGATTTTCCATCAGATGATTATCTCTATAATTCCCACTATGGAAGGGAAATAGAGACCACGTTCATTTTGCACAAAGCAAAGTATTTTTTTGCACTGGCATTTATGCTGCTCCACTATTTTGCTGGGATGGTGACTGTTGCCATTCCCAAGTCCAGCACAGGGTAAATGATGAGCTTTTGTACAGATTAGGTAAGTGTTAGGTTAGGGGTTAGGTTCATTTTCAGAGATAGGTTAGGGGTTAGTCTAAGGGTTAGGTTAGTGTTAGGGGATAAGATGGTGGTCAGGTTAGTGTTAGGAGATGAGTGGAAGGGGCTAGGCTTAGGCATTGATTTGGGTTAAAGACAGATTTAGGAGTTGGGTTAGTGTTGGGGATAGGTTAAGTATTAATCTAGTGTAAGGGGCCAAGTTAGCAGTAAGGTTAGTGTTATGGGCTAAATTACGAGTAGGATTTAGGTTAATGTTAGCGCAGGGTTAGGGTTGAGTTAGTATTAGGGACTAGGTTAGTGTTAAGTTGGGGAATTACATATATGTGAATTGGTTTTGAACCGCATCCGATTCACATGACATGTGAACCAAACCAACTTTCTATGGAGCTGATTTACATATGTGCGCGCTGGCCAGAGTGCAATTTTAAAAAGAGTCAGGTACGATTTTCTTTCTGGTTTAGGTGCTATTTCCAGTGTCATACACTTTAAAAATTCACACCTGAACCTCTGAACGAAATTGCACCAGACTCTTTTTACAAATTGTACTGAAACCGGCCCCACACATATGTGAACTCGGTAGTAAGAGCATACTAGTGTAATCAGTTAGGAAAGGGTTAGGGTAGTGTTAGGTGCTACAGTAGGTTGTGGAATTAGGTTTGTGTTTAGGTGCTAGGTAAGGGGAAAGGTTAATGTTAGCGGCAAGATTATGCGTTTTTTTTTTTTCTCTAGCTGGTCATAATACATTTTTATTTGGTTTTACAAATATAGTTACAACAACAAAAAAAAAAAAAAAATAAAAATAGGACAGTGAAAAGCTACACAATATCACAGTATAGGTGCTGCAGTAAAGTTTAACAAAGAGAAAAAAGGAAATATTGAATAATTCCTAACAATCCTACTAGTCCCATAAAGTAATCATTTTAGAGTATCCAAGAAAAGGTTAAACATAATAATATCTTAGGCTACAGTTCTGAACCAGTTGGACCAGGGAGTCCAAGCTTTGTCAAATTTGGTAATTCTATCGTTTAGGTAAACTAAAGACTTCTCATAGATGAAGTGGGTCTGGACGAGCTCAATTACTTCTTTTAGAGAAGAATGGGTTTTGACTGTGAAAGTGACTAGGTTAGGAGTTATTAGGCATTCTGGGGGGGTGTTTAGTAATGTTATCCACAGGGAATGAAGAAACATTTCTATATTAGCCCAGGGTTATGTGCCTTAATAGACAAGTCAGCAAAGGAAAGGCTAACATTTTTGTCTTGACTGATTTCTTTTAAACCATCTCTGTCATCAGGGAATTAAAAAACACCATTGGTTACCTCCTCCTAAAAAATGCTAGCTGCCTGGCTTTGCCTTGCTTCCATGCTTCTGAATCACAGACCTGGAACAAGCATGAACCTAGAGTTGAAGGAAAGGCATCATTCGTTATGTAGCACTGCCCCTTAGGAGTCGCTGAGTTATTTTTGGACTCCCTGTCACTCTGGACCCCACTCTGAAAGCCCAACCCCTACTGACACCACCGTATTCTTCTGACCAGAGTAAATTACCACCAGAAAATAGACTAGTACACAGATTAAAGTGAACTAATGTTCTGTTTATTATAGATAATACAGTCATGTGTGCTGCTATGTAGGAAATGTAATAACAGAAGGAGGAGACTGCTGCACTCACTGGTCTAGTGTGCTCTCGCTCAAATTAAACAATAAAAAAGAAATGTGATGCACTACCTCTTCATATAAACTATACATTTTAAATAATAATTATTTAACATTTATGGTTTATATGAGGCGGTAGCGCATCACATTTCTGTTTTAATGTTCTGTTTATGTTAACTTGGCTATGAGCACAATAAGACAGCTAAATAAATGTATAAGTAAATAATGGCAGGTATCACTCTTTGGTGCTCTAAGCATGGAAAACAACACATGCAGCAAAATCTCAATTAGCGCTGGCAGGCCTGCTATTCAGGAGGTAACCAAGAGCCTCAAGCCCGAGGTGTTTTCAGTCCCTAGTGAGCAAATTAAACTATCAAAGGGTAAACTAGCTCACTTTGGGCCCTCAGGATCTGATTGCAAGGTTTAAATCTGAAATAGGAAAAGAGCTCCTTATTTAGTACAGTCGATGTCCCTGTAAATACAGTGAGGAATCTTCTATGCGCGCATTGGGGCCCAGTTGGTGCACTACAATAACCCAGACCTTTTAAGTTGGAGAAAGGAAGATGGTAGCTCCTTAAAAGATTAGTGTAGTAGAAAAGATTCACGTACTACTCCATTAAGAGGCACTTGAGTGGATTAGTGTCCCTTTAAATGTATTAAGCAGGATTCAAATTTTAAGTAAAAAAAATATCAACAGTTGTCAGGAGCAC